CGAGACGAGACGACGCGGATGGGTCGGTGCCCGAGCGACGGCGACGACGACGACGACGACGACGACGACGGGCGCGAGGGACGGGACGGGGATCTGGACGCGCGCGCGCGCGATGGGCGGTCGACGGTGTGTATTGATCGCGCGCGGGGCGTCGGAGAGGGACGAGGGGGGCGAGGGCGCGGAGGCGGAGGCGGAGGGACGCCCGGGGGGAGCGACGACGGAGACGAAGGACGGCGACGCGACGAAGGGCGAGGATGGTGCGGAAGGGTCGAAGGTGAAGATGCGACAGAGAGTTGTGGATTGGGCGACGAACGCGCTGCCGTTCGTGAAGACGAAGAAGAAGTGGGAGAAGATGTTCGCGGAGGCGGACGCGGCGCCGCTGGATCACGGCAAGCAAGACGCCCTCATGAGAGAGCTGTTGCAGTACGATAGGAATGATGATTTGATCTCGCGATTCGAGACGAGAAAGTACGCGAGCGGACCGGTGTCGGTATTGGCGTACATGACGGCGCTGGTGCGGACGAACCGTTTGGAGAATTACGCCGTGAGTGGAGACGCGGGGGTTGGGAAGCCGCCGCCCGTCGCCGACCCGGCGGCTCTGGACAAGCTTCCGGATTTACTCGGTGATCTGAGTGAACGCGCCAAGGGAACGGGAGAGTTGGTAGAGTTGGAGACGGGAAAGAGCGCGCAGGCGCCACTGCACATCAACATCGTCGGAAGCGCCGGGCTCGGTCTCCAGCCCCCGAGCGCGGCGAAGCGTTTGCTAAACTGGTTCTTCGGCGTTTTCTTCTTCATTGCCGGCTTGAGCTTTTTAAGCTCGTTCCTCCTACGCCGCGTCGCCGTGCGCGTTATCGAGTCCGGTCCGTCATCCTCGCACATGTCGGGTAGTCACTCGCTCCCGGGGACACCGTCCGGTTCGGATCCGATGTCCGCCGCCGGACTCGGGCCGAACGGGCAGCCGTCGTACGACCCGAAACAGTTCAACAAGGACAACCTTCCGGAGAAATCCCTGAAGAAGTTTAAGGACGTGAAGGGGTGCGACGAGGCGAAGGAGGAGCTCCAGGAAATCGTGGAGTACCTGCGTAATCCGGACAAGTTCACCCGTTTAGGTGGCAAGCTCCCAAAGGGCGTGTTATTGACTGGACCGCCGGGGACGGGTAAGACGCTCCTCGCGCGCGCCGTCGCGGGCGAGGCCGACGTGCCCTTCTTTTACCGATCCGGGAGTGAATTTGAGGAAATGTTCGTCGGCGTCGGCTCGAAGCGCGTGCGGCAGCTCTTCGCCGCGGCGAAGCGCAAGACGCCTTGCATCGTGTTCATCGACGAAATCGACTCCATCGGCACGTCGCGTAAATCCGTCGAGAATCAGCACCGAAAGACGTTGAACCAGCTCCTGACCGAGATGGACGGGTTTGAACAAAACGAGGGAATCATTGTTCTCGCGGCGACGAACATTCCTGAGGCGCTCGATCCGGCGCTCACGCGTCCAGGACGCTTTGACAGAATGGTGCACGTGCCAAACCCGGACATAGGGGGCAGGCGAGAGATCTTGGATCACTACCTCCACGACAAGCCGACGACTAGTGACGTCGACGTGGACAAGATCGCACGCGGTACCGCCGGATTCAGCGGCGCTGAGCTGTATAACCTGGTGAATATGGCGGCGGTGCAAGCGGCGATGGCAGACGCGCCCGCGATCACGGCGGCTGACCTCGACTGGGCTCGCGACCGCGTCTTGATGGGTGCCGAGCGCAAATCCGCGGTACTCAGCGAAGAGAACCGTCGTCTCACGGCGTACCACGAGGCCGGCCACGCCCTCGTCGCGCTGAAGACGGACGCGACGCTTCCCATTCACAAGGCGACCATCATGCCGAGAGGATCGGCGCTCGGAATGGTGATGCAGCTCCCAGACAAGGACGAGACGAGCGTGAACCGCAAGCAGCTCATGGCTCGCTTGGACGTGTGCATGGGCGGGCGTTTGGCGGAGGAGCTCATCTTCGGTCCGGATGAAGTCACCACGGGCGCGTCGGGGGATTTGCAGCAGGCGACGCGACTGGCGTTTTACATGATTAGCGACGTCGGGATGAACAGCAACCTCGGCCCAGTGCACCTTTCGAGCATTCGCGGCGGCGGTGCCGCCGGTCGAGGTGCATCCGGTTCGACGGAATCTGCCGTCGACGCTGAGGTCATCAAGCTTCTCAAGGAGTCTCAAACTCGCGTGCAGAAGCTCTTAAAGTCAAACGCTCGCGATTTGCACACCATCGCCAAGGCGCTGATGGAGAAGGAGACGCTCACCGGGAACGAGATTCGCGAGCTCATCGGAATGCCACCGGTGAAGGAACCGGCGCCTATCAAGGCCCGCGCGAGGGCGAAGAAACCCGAACCGACGGTGAAGGAACCAGAGGTGAAGGAGACGGAGGGTGAGAAGCCAGAGGAAGACGAGGACGACGAGCGAACCATCATAATCGTGATCCAATCAGACGAGGATGAATCCCCAAAATGAGCGACGAATCGATCGTTTAGACACAAAAGAACCGCGTGATTGCCCGATTTGTACATGAAATTTACACACACACACACACACACACACACACACTAAGTTTACGCGCTCACCCCTTTACGCAACTTTGCCAGCTCGACTGCGATTGCCGCGCCGATTCGCGCATTGTTTTTCACCAAAGCGATGTTCGCCTTGAGACTAGCCCCATCCGTGAGCTCAGCCACGCGCTTTAAGACGTACGGCGTGACTTCCCTACCGATAATCTTACGCGTCTCGATCTCGCGTAGGGCTTGACTCGTCGCCTGCTCGACGACTTGCCCGAGCGCCTCGTGTTCGCTTGGAATCGGCACCGCAAAGACGCTTCCGTTGCTCAAACCTAGGCGCAAACTGGCGTCGATCACGCGCGCCGCTTCGAGCGGGGTATCGACGCGCAAAGGAGCCCTCGAGCCACTTGTCCTCGTGAAGAACGCCGGGAACTCATCGACGCCGTACGCGCACACCGTCGCCCCATGCGTCTCCAGCACCTCGAGCGTTCGCGGCACGTCTAAAATCGACTTCACCCCGGCGCAAATCACCGCCACATTCGTCCGTCCGAGCTCGATCAAATCCGCGCTCACGTCCATCGTGCTCTCCCCACCTCGATGCACGCCACCGATCCCGCCCGTGACGAACACGTCCACACCCGCCATTCGCGCGAGCGCCATGGTTCCGCTCACCGTCGTCGCCGCCGTCGATCCCGTCCCGCACGCGTGCGCGAGATCCCTCCTCGACGCCTTGGCGCACCGCTCCCCTAACTCGGCGATACGTTTCAATTCCGAATCGTTCAGCCCAACGCGGGCGACACCATCGATCACCGCGATCGTGGCCGGCGTCGCCCCGAGCGTTCGCACGAGCGCCTCCACCTCCAGCGCCGTCTTTAAATTCTCCGGAAACGGCATCCCGTGCGCCACGATCGTGGACTCCAGCGCCACCACCGGCGCGCCCGATCGCAGCGCCGCCTCCACCTCGCGCGAACACGTCAGCGGGACGCGCGGCGACGCCCGTGAAGACGACGACGCGACGTTCGACGCACGCGTACCCATCGCGCGCGTTCGCATCATCCCACGCGCGGCGTCCTCGCGCCCCGCCGAGGCGTCTTCCCACGGCGCCACCGCGTTCGCGATCGCATCGATCCGTCGTCCCGCGCGAGCGTGCGTCGATTCCATCGCGCGGCGTCGCGCTGTGCGCATCGCGCGTCGATGTTTTTTCAAACGCCCATCGTCTCGACACACATCCGCGCGCCGTCGCCGCGACGCGCACGCGCGCGCGAGAGATGCCCGCGCCGAGCGTCACGCTATACCTCGCGAGGCCGACGTCGAGCGATGACGCCGCCCTGGGCGAGGTGGAGGATGAGAGACTTCGCGCGTTGACGCTCGTGAGTTCGATCGAACACGTCGTCGAACGCGTGCGAAGTGGCGCGGCGTCGCCGTCTGGGACGACGCCGTGCGCGGAGATCGATGGAGACGTCGATGGAGACGGTACGGGCGCGGTCGTGAGCGAGCGCATCGCGGGACGACGCGCGAGGGAGGCGATTCGAGTGCGAGTGATGGATTGCGACCGGGACGCGAGCGCGGACGAGCGCGTCGCGATCGCGGGCGTCACCGCTCTGTGCGACGGGAATCTGCGCGTGGCGGGGGAGTACTTCTCGTGCGTCGATGTCGAGGGATATCGGGCGTACAAGGCGGAGGTGGCGCGCGCGGTGCCGTTTCCGATGAGCGCGTGGCGGGCGCGGCGGCGGGCGAGCGAAGTTGGACGAGAGCTCGAGCGGGCGGGCGTAGACGGCGAACGCGCGTGCGCGCTCGCGGTGGAGGCGTACTCGACGCTGAATACTATGGTGGTGAACTCGGAGATGCGAGCGAAGGAGGGTGAGGCGTATTGGTTGTGCGGGAGCAAACCGAGAAGTTGCGACGCCGCGGCGTACGCGATGTTGAACCATCACGCGCGCTCAAAGTCGTGTGACGCGTTACGAACGGAGATGAAGCGGTTTCCGCGATTGATTCAATACTTGAACGATGTCACGGAGAGACTGTCGCTGATGGAGAAGACGTTAGTGCGTCGCGCCGACGGAGTCGAGCCATCGAGCGGCGCGTTTGTCGACTCCACTTCCTGGGGCGACAGGTACGATGCGAGTCACGCCGAGCGTCGCAAGGGCTGGAAACCACGCTCGAATGCGACTAAGAAGAAGATGAGCGAGAAAGATATAGAAATGCGCCGAAAGGCTTGGTATTCCGTCGCGTTTGCGGCTGTTTCGGTGGTGGCGTACGCCGTAGTCGGCGGCTACGTTTCGCTCGACTTTGGAGACGAGGAAGACGAAGAGGAAGAGGACGACCGAGCCGTTTCCGCGAACCTGATGCACGACGACGTCGATGACGATGAAGACGACGAATAGCACTGCGTTTACTAATATTCTTACAACAAAACTCCCACATCAACGACGCATGCAACAGCCGAAGAGTAAACTGCTCATTTTCACAAAAAATGTCGGCTCAACCTTTTTATGCGCGTGCGCGAGCCGAGCCGCTTTAACGCGCATTTGATTCTCCTTCTTGTAGTCCATCCGTTTTCTTACGGTCTTCACCGGATCATCGCCCGTGATTGCTCTGCTGAATTCGGCGGCCAACTCATCCACTTTGGAGGCGGGCTTCGACTGCGCGGCAAGCTCGCGCCTGAGCCTGTCCTTCTTTTCACGCTTCGCCTTGAGCGCTTTCTCGTACTCAAGCTTCGCCGTCTCGTACTTCTCCACGACTTTTTTTGGCACGACCGCCGAGCCGATCTGATGCGCGTTCGTCTCCTCCTTCATCCTTTTGGTATCGAGCTCGTCCTCATCCCAAATCGGCGGCTTCTCCTCGCCAAACATGCCCATCATATCACCGAACCCCCCGTTCTCCACGCTGAGCCCACCCGCGGTCGATCCCCCTACGGTGGTGCTCCGCTCATCCGCGAAATCCGGATCGACGCTATCCGTGCTCGCCATCGACCGTCGACTCGACGACCGACTCGGCGCCCGGCTCGACGCTCGCGAGCCGTGTCTCGACCTCGAGCGCGACCTCGAGCTCGACCTCGATATCGATCGACTCGATATCCCCGCGTCCATTCGCGCCTGATCAATCTTATCTCTCAACTTATCCAGCTCAGCCCTGGTGATCTCGATCGCCTCGTCCTCCTCCGCGAACGCGTCCGCGCTCGCGCCGCTCCCGTCCCGCCCCCGCCTCGACCCCCGGAGCGATTTCCTGCTCAAATCCCGTCGCCGTCCATCATCGCCGTCTTCATCGTCGGATTCCCACGTCCCAAACTCCCGCGTCGCGGACCGTCCGCGCCGGTCGACGCGCGAGCTCATCGACGCTCGAGCGAATCGTCGGCGTCCCGTGCCCCGCGCGTGCGATCGCGCGCGTCCACCGTCGGCACCGCGCGAGCGACCGCGCGCGCGAGCTCACCGCCGCGATCGATCTCGCCGTCGGTCGCGGCGACGCGGCGTCCTCCGCGGGCGTCGCGCGCGTCGACGTCGCGTCGCCTCGGGATTGGGTGTTCACTTCCGGGTGTGTGGGTGCGGGTTTTTAGGGTTTAGGGTGTAGGGTTCGGCCCGACCCCCCCGAGGCGAGCGTTTTTCGAGCGTTACGTCCGCGACGACGACGCGGCGTCGACGCACACGTCCGCGCGCGAGAGCACCGCGCGCGCGCACCGGCGCGAACGATGGTGCGCATCACCGAGAGCGACCACGACGCGCTGGCGCGAGCGAAGACGCGCGCGGAGGAGGGCGCGGCGATGCAAGAGGTCGCGGACGACATCACGGGCGCGGACGACGCGAGCGAGACGTCCGAGGAGGCATCGGACGGGGAGTTCGAGGCGGGACCGACGGTGTGGGAGGCGGCGGAGGATGAAGAAATTCCGGAGAATCACTGGGATTATCACATGCGGAAGAACATGAACGATGGACGCGGTGACTCGGTGGCTCGAAACCTCGCGTACGTGCCGGTGTGCAACTGCATGCCGGTGTGCCAAGGGGAGGACGGATGCAGAAATCCGTACTTTATGTGGACTAAGAAGAAGTGATGGGTGAAAAAGACATGTTATAATTACATGACGCGCGCATCGATCGTTCCGTGCTAGAGGTTTGTGGGCGTCGCCTCGACTGGATCGCCTCGATCGTTTCTACGCATGATTTCTCGCGCGAGGCGAACCTGTCGTCCGATGACGAGGACGGAGACGCGGCCCTCGCCCATGGCCCCGCGCGCGGTGCGCCCGACTCTGCGCACGTACTCGCTCGGATCTCGCGGGAAATCAAACAAGATGACGTGCTCGACGCGAGACGCGTCCAGGCCTCGAGACGCGCGGTCAGTGCACACGAGCACGTGCGGCGTCTTCGACGAAGACGTGATGAACTCTTTGAGATTTTGTTGCTGCTGCTCGCGCGAAAGCGCGGCGTGGTAGGGCAAAATTTTATACTTATCGCCATCTTGATCGGCACGCTTGAGAAAGTTTTCAATCTTCCGGCACGTCTCGATCTTGTTGCAGAAGAGCAACGTTCGCTGCGCCCTGTCCACCTCGAGTAGTTGCAGTAACGCCTTAAACTTGCGATAGAATCCGGACTCTTCGTCGAAGATCTCTCCACCGCTACAGTCGATGAGGCGCTCGAGCATACCTGCGGACGGTCGATGCAAACCGGGTCCCTGCACGACGCGAATATCGCTCTCAAAAAATTTCTTGAGCTGGCGCAAAACGTCGTCGGGAATCGTCGCCGTGACGAGAACGAATTGCGCGTCCTGTCTCAGTGCATTTCGAATCGGCGCCACTTGCTCCGCAAACTCAAAGCTGTCGCCGAGTAACACGTCGCACTCGTCCATGACGACCGCCTCGACGTCGTCGGTGAGCATCTTACCCTCCTCGATGAGTCTCGCGACGCGACCGGGAGTTCCGATGACGATGTCCACGCCCTCCTTGAGCGCCTCAATCTGCGTACGAGGCTTACTCACGTTGTTCGCCAACAGAGAACGAGAACGCAATCCCCCGAACGACAAATTTTTTACGACGTCTCGCACCTGCGTCGCGAGCTCGCTCGTAGGCGTGAGCACGAGAAGTCTCGGCCGCTTTGACTTGCTCCTCCCCTGCTCAGCCTCGATGCCTTGCAGTCGCTGAAGCAGCGGTAACAGGTACGCCAGGGTCTTCCCGCTTCCCGCTTGATCGGCGAGCAAGATGTGACGCTGCGACGCGTCCGCGGCGTCTCCACTGAGCGCGCGGTACGATTGCGCCTGGATGTGCGACGGTCGCTCAATCTTGAAGCTCTCCTTGAGCGCCGCGCGCACTTCATCACTCGCCCCAAGCTGCGCGAATCGCGCGCCAGAGAAGAAGGAGTACTCATCTAAATCGTCTGGCTCTCTCGTGTACACCATCGGCTCGAAATCATCCTCCACGTACTTGCTCAGGAGCTCCGGGAGGTACGCCTTGTTCTGCCTCTCCCCCCACCGACGCCCGTCCTCGAGTTCGTCCTCGAGACCTTGTAAGATCCAATCCACCTCGTCATCGGGTTCGTCCCCCTCGTACTCATCTTCACGCGAGTACGACGGTCCATCGTCGCGATACCGATCGTCGTCTCGCCCTCGCGCGAATCCGCGCTCGCGCCGCTCTCCGCCGCGCGCGGCGTCTCGCCCGTCTCGCCCGCCTCGTCCACCGCGCCCCCCCCGTCCGAATCGCCCACGTCCGCGTCCTCCACCCCGTCTCTCGTATCCATCCCGCCGTCCTCGTCCGCCGTCGTCTTCAAATCGACGCCCGTACTCCTCGTTTTCGCTCCCGCGCCCGTCTCGCGTCGCCTCCGCCCGCGACGGCGCGCGTTCCAAAATCTTAAACCCACCTCGACGCTCCGCCGCCCGCGTCTTCTCCCGTCGTCGACGCTCGCGTTCATCGGCGTCGTCGTAGCCGTACGCGTCGCGTCGTCCGTCGTCGTCGACGCGGTCGTCGTCGGGAGAGAATGCGTACAGTCGAGTGGCGGCTGGCTCGACCACCGCGCGTCTTTCTCGGCGTCGCACCGCGCTCGGACGCGACGCGTGCGCGCGTGACCCCCGGTGCTTGGTCGACAGTGATGGACGCGACGCGACGCGCATCGCGGGACGACGGTCGATGAGTGCGGTGGGATGAGTGCTCGTGAGTGTGCTACAACGAACGCTTTGACTTGACGGTCGAGCTAAAGGAGTACAGAGTACATACGGTGAGCGCGTCGTTTCGGAAAAGCGCTTCATCGTGGGAAAATTGCGGAGGGAGTGACGAGAGCGCGAAGTGCGACAGCGTCGACGGGCGCTCGCGGCTCGATGTGTTTCCGATGGAGACTCGCCGCGCGCGTCTTCGGCGCGTCGTCCTTCGACTCTCGTCGTCTCGGCCAATGTAAAGTTCATGATGCGGTACGTTTTGCGCCGCGAGCGACGCGAATGAAGTTGTCGAATAGAGTCGTCGGCGTCTCGTTCGACGTCGTCTCGCTCCTCGGCGCTCACATGGTGACGGATTCCGACAGACCGAAGACGCCGATCTCGACGTTGAAGGCGTCGACGTCGTCCTCGCGGCTGACATCCATCGGCGCGTTCTCGGCGCGCGCCTCATCCCTGCGTTCGACCTCGACGAATCGATAGAATCCTTCCATCGTCCCTCGTCGCGTGTTCAGCGGCGTCGACGACGCGTATTCAAACGTCTCGCCCGGACGAATGAGCGGTTGCTTCCCGACCACGCCCGCGCCTCGCACCGCCTCGCACTTGCCCTCCTCATCGGTGATGAGCCAGCTTCGAGAGAGCAACTTCACGCTCTTCGCGTTCGTCACGTTCGTGATCGTCACCACGTACTGAAAGAACCACTTGGATTCTTTCGGCGCCGATCGATCCGTCACGCACCTCGACCGCGCGCGCACTCGAATCCCATGACTCGTGCGTTCGCTCTCACACGGCGCCAACCTCTCGACCACGGCGTCTCGTTCGAGTTCCTCGATCGTCGCCTTCGCGTTCGACGCGCACTCGTAATCTTCATCCACCACGCACGCCTCCAACGCGTCCGCCGCGCGCGCGAGCGGATCCCGCCTCCGCAGCCCCTCGATCTCATCTCGAATCGCCGCCGCCGCGCGCCAATTCTCCAACCGCATCGCGTCCGACAACCGTTCGCGCAGCGACAGGACTTTCCGTCGAATCGCCGGATCGGCGTACTCACCGTCACCGAACACCCCGCGGTCGACGCCGGCGAAGGATTCAGAATTCTTCGACCCATCCGCGCGCGGTTCTCTCGCGCGCGCCACCGCGCGCGCGCCCCGTCGAACGCGCGCGAGCGGTCGCGGCGTCGTCGCGGGCGCGTTCGCGGACGCCATCGTCGTCGACGTGCGCATCGCGCGCGATCGTCGCGCGATGATCGTCCGAGGCGCGGCGTCGCGGTCGTTGGCGTCTCGGTGCGTCCGACGTGGACCTTTTGACGGTGTTGTCTCATTATATGCGACACGGACCTTTTGACGTGTTTGTCTCATTATATCCAACACGGACCTTTTGACGGTGTTGTCTCATTATATCCGACACGGACCTTTTGACGGTGTTGTCTCATTATATGCGACGCGGACTTTTTGACGGTGTTGTCTCATTATATGCGACACGGACCTTTTGCGACACGCGACGACCGTCGCGACGCCCGCGATTGTGGACGACGCGCATGGCGACGACGACGCCGGACGCCGGATGGGAGCTCTCCCGATCGAACGCGCGGCGGTGTGAGAGCGAGATCGAACGGGCGTTGAGCGCGTTGGCGAGAGGTGCGATGAAGATTGCACGCGAGGCGAACGATGCGTGAGGCGAGGACGATCGAACGACGCGACGACGACGACGACGACGACGACGACGACGACGCGGAGGATTGACGCGCGAGGGTGTCGATGCGCGCAGTGCAAACGAGTGGGTCGAGACCTGGAGCGGCGGGTGGACGCGGGGGGGAAGGGGAGTACGCGGAGACGTTGGAGCGATGCGACGGGCTCATCGCGCGCCTGCGGGCGATCAACGAGGAGATGCGCGAGACGTTGGAGCGGGACGATCAGCGAGCGTTAGGGAGCTCGGGAAAGGCGGTGCAGGAGGGAGGGTACAGGGATTCGCGCAGACACACGTTGCAGCGACATCAAGAGGTGTTGATGGAATACGAGGAGGAACGGAGGCGGTTGACGCGAGACGCGGAGGCGGCGCTCGAACGCGAGCGCCTGTTGGGCGGGTACGGCGTTCGGTCGAGCTCGAACGGTGGTGGAGATGAATCGGCGGAGGCTCGATTGATTCGAGAGCGCGCTCGGATCGCGGGTGGGACGAGCGCGGTGGAGGATATCATCGGCGTGGCGCAGAACACGGCGCGCGAGCTCTTCTCCCAGCGCGGATTGTTGCAAAACGCCGGATCAAAGCTCTTGACCATGGCGAGTCGGTTTCCCGTGCTCGATAATCTCGTCATGGCGATCAAGAAAAAGAAGAACAAGGATGCGATGGTCTTAGCCGCCGTCATCGCCGCGTGCACGACCTTTGTGTTGCTCTATTACATGTCAAAGTGAGCGCCGTCGGCGCGAGCGACACTCTCGGGCTCGTAATGAAATCTTCGAGGATACTACTCACCGCGCTCATCGCGGCCGCTTCGTCGGCGTCGTTCGCACGCGCGCAGTCATGCCAATCGCTCGTGTTCTCTGGTCTCTCGAGCGCGTGCGCGTTAGGCGGCGAGAGCGCGAGCGAAAGCGCGTGCTGCGACACTCTCGGACGCGCGAACGAGCGCCTGTGCTTTTGCGACATCGAGCTCATGGGAACCATAGAAATGGTGATTGGGAACGATGGAATTGAGTTTTTTCGCAACTTCTCCAAGTACTCGTGCGACGGCGGTGAGCTCGTCATCGGCGACGCGTGCTCTGGGACGCCACCCGCGAGCGGGCCGCCTCAACCACAGACGCCGCCGACGACGCCGACGACGACGATGATGACGGTTAACGATTACAATCGACATCGCCAATCACACGGATACGAATTTAGTGACAATGCGATGCCGACGACACCTCGCGAGAGGATTCCTATGTTTCCTCCTCGAGCGGCGCCCGAAGAAGAAACCGTCGCTCGGTGGGTGCTCGATCCAAGGCGAAACGCAGAGGTCGGTTTCACCGCGGATGCGCTAAGTCTGACGGGGGTCAGGAACGTCTTACATGGTAATGCGTCGCTCACCTTCTTTGTTCCGACCAATGAGGCGTGGTATTCGCTCTTGTTTCAGTTAGGAGTCACGAAAGAGGAGTTGTTCGGCGCGAGCACGTGGCTCGAGGATGCGCTGAGGTATCACGTCGTCAACGGCGCGGCGCGGACGTCGACCTTCAGTTTCGGAACTCTACTTCCGACGGATTTCACCGGTGAAGATCTCTCGGTCGAGACGTATACCGATGGTAGAGGACAAGCGGTCGTGCGCGTAAACGGATGCTCTGTACACACCAGCCGTAATCGAAGGGACGTCTCAGTTGGCGACGCAGGCTTGGTACACTTTGTGGATTGCGTCTTATTACCACCCGGTCGCTTACTTCCGACCAGGCGCACTATAGATCAATACATCCGCTCGCAACGTTCGCTCTCGATGTTCGCCAACGCCATGAGAGGATCGTCTCTGTTCGAGCGACTCGCTGAAGACAAATGGTTCACCGTTTTCGCTCCGAGCGACGACGCGTTCGCACGCTTCCTGCGGGATCCTCGGATCGGGATGTCATTTTACGTCGACGACGAGGACGGGTCGGCACATCCATCGTTGACTGATGTCTTAACTTATCACGTCGCAATGGGCTTCCATTCAAAACGAAAACTCTCCATGAGTCGTGCTCCGAAATCGCTCTTCACCATGGACGCTCTCGAGGATTCGAGCGCGTCAACGCATCGACGCGTGTACGTGTCCACGCGAGGCTCTCGAAGTGTGCTCGTGAACGGGTGCGCTATAATTGGTGAGCAAGCTTTCGCTCGTAACGGAGTCGTCCACGTCATTGATTGCGTGCTCTCGCCAAACTTTGATTCTAGCTAACCGTAGGCATACGACATCGACGCTCACGACAAGAATAAATCGCTCATCTGGTCGCTGTAGTAAACCATCTCAGCGCCGGACGTGGCGACGCTTAGCGCCGCAACGCCACCCAAGACGCGAAAAAACTCCCCCCACTCGACATCGTCCCGCTCACGATTCGACGCGTTGGCGCTCGGCTCCAGTAACGAGAATACCTTGGCGTAGCACCTCCACGAGACGAGGACACCTAACGCCGTCAGCGTCGACGCGAGCACACCGATCGACTCGTTTGGTTCCTCTAAGTTGCCAGAGATGGCGATCACGCGCTCGATGGCTTGCAGCGGCGCCCACGCCATCCAGGCTTTCGCGACTTCTCGACACGCCTTGTTCGCGCTCGGCGTCGCGAAATCATCCACCTCGTACGCGTTCGAGATCACCGCACTCTATCGAGACCGAAACGCGCGCATCGTCAGTCTCAGTCACCTCGCTCGATCCCACGTCTTGCGCACGCACCGCGACCACCCAACAGCCAAGCGCCCACATCGCTCGAGCCGCGAACGCGGCACCGTCCCGCGCGCTAATCTCCACTGGCGCCAACCATCCCGGAAACGAGGGTTTAGCGCTCACCGCGCTCACGGTTTCACACAGCGTCAGCGTCCACAGCGCGCAGACGTCACCGACGATCAACGCGACGTCTTCCAATCGTCCCGTCGCGTCGAAGAAGTCGTTCGATTCCGTTCGCTCGCGCGTCTCGTCCTCTTCCTCGTCGCTCGATCGCTTCGCCCTCGGGCGCGACCGCGGGGTCGAGCGCGATGACGTCGACTGGACGTTCGCGCGCGCGCGCGGACGCGACGGGAGAAGGGCGCGCGCGGAGGTTCGCATCGCGCGCGCGCGAGTGGAACCGTCACTCGCGGGCGTGCATGTGTCGATTGGTCTCCCTCTTCTCGCTCGTCCCGCGGTCGCGCGCGCGCGCGAGGACGTCCGAAAAGACGCGTTGGATCCGTCGGGGACGTCGCGCGCGCGTCGACGGGATCGACGCGCGGGCGAGGCGGATGGAGGATGATTCATCGAAGGAGATGTTGTTCGCTGGAATGGATTTCGGAACGTCCTCGGCGCGTCTGTGCGTGATCGATCGCGACGGTGCCTTGGTGCGGAGTACCACGGCATCGTATGCGTCTATGGATGACATCGCGGCGTCGTGGAAGCGAGCCATGGGAGAGTTGTTGGATTGTTTGAGCGATTCGGAACGCGCTCGGGTGCAGGGCGTGAGCGTGGACGGAACGAGCGGGACGGTGGTGATCGTGGATGGAGAAACGGGCGAGGCTTTAAGGGAGCCGTACATGTATAATGAGACGTTTCCTGAGGAGAGCGCTCGGGTGAGGGCGCAGAGAAATGGATCGGGGACGGATTCCACGGAGAGCGCCTCGAGCGCCGCGTGCAAGGTTTCGAGATGGTTTCACGTCGACGGCGACGAGAGGGATCGAGCGCGGGCGGTGATGTTGCATCACGCCGATTGGTTGGCTTTTGATTTACACGGGAAGATGGGTATGAGTGATTTCAACAATGCGTTGAAGCTCGGGTTTGATCCGGCGCCGGATGTCGAATCGTTCCCGCGTTGGCTCCTGGACGCGCCGTATGGGAAAATGCTCCCGAACGACGTGAGACCGCCGGGAACGTCATTTGGGGTCGTTCAGGCGAGCGCTGTCGAACGGTTTGGTCTCTCACCCACGTGTGAAGTGATCGCAGGAACGACGGACAGCGTCGCCGCGTTTATCGCGTCGAGCGCCGACGCGGCGGGCGAGTGCGCGACAAGTCTCGGAAGCACGCTCGCCCTGAAGCTCATCTCTGACGTGCGCGTGGAAGATTTGAGCTCGGGAGTGTACTCACATCGCCTCAACGGCCGGTGGCTCGTCGGTGGGGCGTCAAATTTGGGCGGGTGGATCTTACGACGATTTTTCAAAGACGACGAGGTGGCAACGCTGAGCGAAAAAATAGCGCGAGAGCGCTACGTCGCGACGAAGGATTACTTCGAGGGCGTGATGTTGGGATTTGGAATCAGTGTTGACGACGCGGTGGCGATCGTGGAAGATTCCAGACCCGCGGACGACGCCCAATTCGTCGTGAACATTCTTAGCTCAATCGCAAACGTCGAGGCGAGATGTTACGAGCGTATGACGACGCTCGGGGCCTCGAACCGCGCGCACAAGGTATTCACCGCGGGCGGAGGAGCAAAGAACGACGTTTGGAGCAACATTCGATCGACCGCCTTGGGAGGCGTTCCCGTCGTGCGGTCTGCGCGCGACGAAGCTGCGTATGGCGCCGCGCTCCTCGCGAGACAGGGTCGACTGCGACTGAGCACGTACGTTCCGTGATGAGCTATACCAAATTACAATACACTCAATCAATTCCTCCGTCGTGTCCGAGGACGATGAGGAGGTCCTATGAAAGGCGCTTTAGAATTCGGCGTGATGAGCTATATGTAATACTTTTAACTACACCGCACTCACGCATCGTACGGGTTCAACGCCTTCTTGAACGAGTTCGAGAGTTTGACGAAGATGCTCTCCTCCTCGCTCTCCGACGAGTCGTCCTCCTTGGTAAGCAATACTACGTCGTCGAACGGATTCTTTTGTCCTTTCTTCTCTCTTATCTCCGCCTCCGTTATCTTGGACGATTCGTCGCGCTCGCGGTAGCCGTATTCCAAGTTCCCGAAGGCGGGCGGCTTCGCGAGCGCCGGATACATCTTCAACGCCGCCGTTCGCAGCGGTTGCTCCGCCGCCCAAATCTCTCGTTTCACCGCTCTCGGCGACTTCACCGCGAGCGGGCCAACCGGGAACCATTGGTTCGGTCCTTTCGCCCTGACGAACACCTCAAACACCACACCACCCGCGGCGACGATGTCGTCGTATCTCGCGCTCGCCGTGAGCTCCTCCGCGGTCGGCGGCGCGGGCTTGGACTCGGTCGGGCCGTTCGTTTTCGGTTTTCTCCGTCGAGGCTTTTGTCGCTCGGGCATCGGCTTTCCTCGCTTCGTCAGTGGGCCCACATCGGGCGCGGATCGGTCGTCTCCGCCGTCGGCGCGAGCGACGACGGTGCGCGCGCACGCGCGCCGCGTCGCGTTCGCGAGCGAGCGAGGAGCGACGCGCGGCCGAGGCGCTGGAGCGAGGAAAGCCATCGGGCGTTGGGCAGTGACGTCACGAATGCGAGCGATGCACTTTTTGAGGCGCCGGCGCGCTCGGTCAATCGTGGTATCACACGTATCGCTACTACGCGCGCGTCAGTGGGTCAAGCGTTGGAGCTCCTCGACGCGGCTGATGATGTCGGTGCGATCGAGCTTCATGTCGGCCGCGATGGCGTCCGCCTGCTCGGGACGAAGGTCTAAAAAGGACTCCACGAGGTCTCCGTCGACGAAGTTCATCGCCGGGTCGCTTCGGCCGCGCAAGGTGTGGACGAAGGAGCGCCAATCGGCGTGTTTGAGCCCACCTACGCCCTGAATGTGTTTGTTGATCGACGCCTGCAGGCGCTCGGTGAATTCGTAGACGTCCTTCGGAAGACTGGCCAAGACGCCGATGACGCCGTTTGCCGTTCCGAATAACAGCGTCGGGACGCTCAGGGACTCACCGTCTCGTAAACTCATCACCAGTGATCCCGGAGCGAAGGCGTTCACGAGTTCACCTAAGTGATATTCCCCCGTGATCTCCAGACGACTTCGCTCCTCATCCGTCACGGCGTTCACGTTGCGGGAAACGGTGAAGAGGTTCAGGCTGTTCTCGGCGCCGAGATACGTTTCGTCGTCATCTAACATCGCCACCGCTGTCATCCAATTCGCGTTAAAGTCCCTTGCCACTTCATCGATCGCGCCCTCTTCAGGTTTGTAAAGCAACAGCGACATCGATTTCATCAAGTCACCGACGAGGATCCAATCGCCTCTCGTCTTCACCGCAAACGTGACGATTTGCCCGTGATGTGAACACTCGCTTACTAGTTCGTGCACTTCATCCTCTCGCGGCGTCCACTTGAACAGTTCTAGCTTGGAGTTGATACCAGCGAGGAGTTTGCCTTTGAAGGCGTTCAAATTATACACTGCTCCTCGTACCTCCTTCTCCGACACGAGCACGAGCTGGTCGTCGTCAACCTTGAAGACAAGAATGCGCCCGCGCGACGGTTCGTCCTCCGTCTCTAACGCGATCCCGGTACCGACGACGTAATACGTCGTCGAATCTCCAGCGAACGTGCAAGACGTCAACGAACTCGTCAATTCCTGATCTTCAAGTTGGAACTGGCTCAACGTTTCAAACGATCCGTCGTCTACGAGCCTGACGAAGCAATCTTGACTACTCTTCGACCACAGGTGCTCGACGACGACGGCAAACGTGTTCGTCTCGGGCTGATGCGCGATTCTTCGCGGTTGGCCTCCGAGCGGGATGGTACGAATGTGCAACTTTTGAATGTCATCAATGCCACCGATGGTCAAGTCTTCCTCGCCTGCCAACGCGAGCGCGTCCGGGAAGGCTGCACTACTGAACGGACAGACGTGCAAGACCTCTTGAACGTTGACGTTCGAGTATATCAGCTTTTTGTTGTTGCTAAAGATCACCGTCGGTCTGTCCGACGCCGCGAAAACGCTGTGAACATTCGTCGCGTGACTCTTGAACGTCTGCAGAGTGATGGGCTTCGTGCCGAGGCTCAACTTTTTCCGCACAGACAGCTCGCCACTCTTCTCATCCAGGAGGTAAGTGATCAGTTGGCCGTCACCAAGACCGACCAAGAGGTACGGGATGCTCTCAAATGAACACAAAAGCGTTGAGCGAGGAATGATGTCCTCCCCGGTGCTCTCTCTCTTGATGACGCTCAAGTCGCTCATCGAGGCAAGGACAATTTCCATTGACCACAGACCGACAGCGCAAACGGGCGAGCTCGTCGCTTCGCCCATCGGAGTACAATCTAAACACGCGATCTCGTCTTCAAACGTCGCGCTCGCCACGAGCGCGAGCTTTCCCTTCATAGCGCTCAAACAGTGCAGCTTACCGCCCGACTCTGCGATGAGAATCTGCGTCGGGTTGCACTTGGCTGACAGAATCTCTGAACCTCCCGCTGGTTTCCATTCATCGAGTAGTTTTCCATCGCAAGATACTAGGCGCGCACCTGCGTGCGTGACCTGCACAAACATGTTACCGAGCATGTTTCCACAACACAACGTTTGCGCCTCAGCGTTGAATCCTGAGATCTCCGTCTCGTCCAAAGTGTCCCCTTCATCGCCAACAAAACCTAAAATGCGCGTCTCGTTAATAAACGTGACGACCAAGTACTTGTCTACCTGACTTTCATCGTCATCCCGAAGCGAGAACAACCCTTTCACGCCGGGAAGCTGGATCACTGCCTGCTCGTCAATGCCTATGCCATTTCTCACAACGCGTAAACTGCCGTCCTTGTACGCTCCGCTGCAGGTCACGACCTGTCCTTGCCCGTGTCGCTCGAGATCAACAAATGCGAAGTCTACAATGGGACCGAGATTAGTGAACTCTTCCAAAATTTGGATGTAAGACAAGTTTCCGTCTTTGTCGACGTTTGTCTTTTCCGAGTGCAGCTTGATGAGCTGCGAGTCCCCGTACGCACTACCCACGAACACGACGCCGTTATCGAGGTAACTGACCGTGCTTGGGATTGACGTTTCCCCGAGTCGTTCGATTTTCAGCTCGTTCACGCGTTTCCCATCATGGACGAGGACGAGTAAGTACAAGGTTCCATCGTGGTCGCCCAGCAAGTACCTTGAGCCATCCGGATCGATCGCGCCATAGCACACGATGCTCGAACGCTCAGGGATGTTGATCGCCTTCAAGAAGACATCCGTGTCGTCGCTCGTCTTGTTCAAGTACACGATGGTCTCCTCTCCGAGGACGACGACGCCTCCTACCGGCGCCGGCACCGGGATTATTTTACTCGAGCCGCCCTCCAAGTCATTTTGTGCCCACGGCGACGATACAAACTCCTTCTCCCGGACGCCGATCTCGTATGTTTTGATGTGAACCGCCTCTTTCATGTCTCTGTAAAGCACCGCGATCGTCGGCTTAGCAGTGCCGTGTAAGAACTGTATGTCCTCAACGCGTAGCTCCTCCAACCGAATGTTAAACGCCTCCTTCACCTTGCCCTTTTCGTCGCACGGAATCACCTTGAACAGCCCATCGTAGAGCTGCAATCCGATCGATCTGCAATCTTCGTCTACGATTCCAATCTGTCCGTTCTCCGCCGGTCGCCCAATGTTATCCCGAACGTCCCCAAATGCCTCCGTCTTCAGTTCCTCTGATTCCTCGTCGTACGACAGCGCGGTAAAACCGTACCGCTCTGTGGTGATGAACAACCGTCCCTTGCTCCCGCGCTCTCGTCCTCCGCACAGCGACATCGTCGCAACTCGTCCGTAAATCGGCACGTCCATGATTGGTCGCAACCCGCTCGAGGACAATCGATAAATTTCCAATCGCGTGCACTTGGCGACGATCAAATCCGTCTCCTCGCTCGACGTGAATCTTCCCACCGCGCTGTGCGTCACCACCGTCGGTTTATGCGCCTGCGTGCGTGGAAGCGTCTCGGTGATTCTCGTCAGTCATTCGACGCCCATCATCGCGAATATACACGGTGAACGGAGCGAGACGCGAGAGATTGTCAAAGGCTGAATCTCGCGCGGACGCTCGACCGCTCGTCTCGGACGAAGACGCGCGTGGCGATCGAATCGAACGCACCGTGACGACGTAATTGAAACGACATCGTCCGCCCTCGTTCGGGGCGGACATCTCGCGATCGAACGCGATGGACAGTCGCCGAGAAGTGAGGCGCGGCGCGGGAGACGCGGCGACGGCGTGCGACTGCGTGCGCTCAACTGTTACACTGGGAAAATTACGACGCGGCGTGCGGGGTGGGATCTTTGAGTTTAGCTCGACACCGAGCTCGGTTCGGCCGCGGCGCGTTCCTCGGGGGACATCGCCTCGAGCTCGGCGAGATCGTCCAGGTCGTTGTACTCCACCTTGCCCTCGATGAGCGAGCAACGCTCGGACGAGTGCTCGTCGAGCGCCGCGCGCAAGAGCTTGATCTTCGCGATCGACGCCGAGAACGCGGCGACGCACCCATCGCTACCACGATAAAACTTAAAGTACGGCAGCACCTTCACCCCGAGAGATTTACACAAGAGCTTGTTATCGTCAAAGTTTACCTTGACGAAGACCACCTCCGGGTACTCCCTCGCGAGTTTGCACAGCTTGGGATACAGCGCCCGACACGCCCCGCACCATCGCGCGTAGACGTCGACGACGATCAACTTATCGCTGTGTACGTTCTGTGACGACGCGCGCGGTGAACATCGCGAACGCATCGTCAGTCAAAGTTCTCCGACGCGTCTCCCGCCCTCCGCGCCATTCGCGTCCAAAATCATCCCAATCTCGCCCTCCCGCCCCCATCACCGGCGTCCGCGTCATCGCGCGCGCCCAAATCTCGACCGCGACCGCGCATCGCGCGCGTCGACGCACCAACAGATTCAAGAACGCCCCCGTATCGACGCACTCCACCATGTTCTCTTCGCCACCCTTTTCCCACCACGGATCCTTCGTGGAGATTCTCGCTCGACGCACCACCCGAGCGCGCGGTCGCCCCCCGGCGTCGCGCGCGCGCTCGAACGCCCGTCCCGTCGTCGTTCTCGCCGAACGCGTCGACGCGACGCCCGCGCGCATGACCGTCGTCGCCGTGTGCGGCGCGCCGCCGGTCGAGTCGTCCCGCACGTCGCGACGCCCACGAGCGATGCCGGCGTCGCCCGGATCGACGCTCGCGGTCGCCCCCGGTTTAGACGTCACGACGCCGCATCACCGAGCGCTCGCGCGCGCGATGACGACGCGCGCGCGGCTGTGGACGGAGATGGCGCATCACGACTGCGTCACCCGCATGTGCTCGAGCACGATGACGCGATCGGAGACGCACGTCACGGCGCAGGTGGGTGGATCGCGCCCGAGCGGACTCGCGCGCGCGGCGGAGATTTTAGAGAGCGAGTACGGGTACGATGAGGTGAACCTGAACTGTGGGTGCCCGAGCGAACGCGTGTGCCGGAAGGATGACGAGACGTCCTCGTTCGGCGCGGCGATGATGATCGACGTGGAAAACACGGCGGAATGCGTCCGACGCATGGTGGAAGCGGTGGATGCGACGAAGATCACGGTGAAACATAGATTGGGCGTGCGCTTCGATAAGACGATGACGGTGAAGGAGGAGACGGATAGTTACGAGCACGTGGTCAAGTTTATCGAAGCGATCAAAGACGCCGCGGGCGTCGATCATTTCATCGTACACGCTCGGAGTGCGGTCATGGGGGGGCTTTCGCCCGATGCGAATAGGAAAATTCCGCCGCTGAGGTACGACGAGGTGTTCGCGCTGTGCGACGAATTCAGCAAGTGCGATTTCACCCTGAACGGGGGCGTGGAGACGCTCGAGCAGGCAAAGGGATTGTTAGAGAGGGAGGATGGAAAATTAGCGGGGGTGATGATGGGTCGGGCGTTTTACAAACATCCGTGCATGCTCGCGGATATCGATCGAGTCATCTTCGGGGAGCCCACGGCGGATCCGCCGCCGACTCGACGGTCTCTAGTCAAGATGTACGGCGATTACGGCGACTCCGTGTTCGCCGGGCTCGGCTCTGACGTGCACTACAAGGTGCGAAAATCCATGGCGCGCAGACTGTTCAAGGCTGTGAGCGCCATCTCGTACGGTACGTCGACGGGATCCAGGGCGTTTCATCGCGAGGCGGATAACCACTTGCTGAAACGTCACTACGACGACTACCCGGCCAATCCAGAGGACGATCGCCCGTGGAGCGTCAATTTCCGCGAGTTCGTCGAGGGCATCATCGACGAAGAGTACCTGGACGATCCGTTGGTGAATGTCAATCCCGAGGGCGATAACACGCGACCGCTCGCTCGAAAGTTTGTCCGAGCGTTGAAGTTGAAGGATGCCAACGAGAAGTTAAAGGATTCCAACGCCGAGACTGCGATCAGAGACGGCGAGTAGCGTCGTCATTCACATTGATTTATCACTAGTTCTAGCGCGCCGATTCGTTTGTATTGAAAAACGAAGATGGATGTAAACACGCGCGCGGTGCGCGCCTCGAGACAAGTTTGTCCGCGCGTACACATCGCGTCCGCACACGTCGACGCGCCGCCCCGTAGCTTTGCCCGCGGGCACGAAGCGCGCTATCGGGTCATTGATATGCCTTCTAGCTCCAGAACGCACGGCTTTAACGGCTATGCGGTGAAGTTCTCGCCGTATTTCCCACAAAGAATCGCAATCGCGTCGGCGCAGAATTTCGGCATCATCGGGAATGGCGCGCAAATCATCGCCGACGTGGACCCGACGACGGGTTCGCTCGTAGAGATCGCGAGATTCCCCACCCGTGATGGTCTGTACGACTGCGCGTGGAGCGAAGGGCACGAGAGCGTGCTGGTTTCGGCGTGCGGAGACGGGAGCGTCAAGGCGTGGGACGTCGGCGGAGGACCGAGCGCGAATCCGTTGAGGAGCTTTCACGAGCACACGCACGAGGTGTATGGGGTGTCGTGGAACGTTGCGGGTGGGAGAGATTCGTTCTTAAGCGCGTCGTGGGACGATAAGATCAAGCTATGGACGCTGGATCGACCGGAGAGCATTCGGACGTTCGCGGAGCACGCGTATTGCGTCTACGCGGCTGAGTGGAGTCCGCATCATGCGGACATATTCGCGAGCGCTTCGGGGGATTGCCTGTTGAAAATTTGGGACGTTCGACAGCCGCATGCGACGCTGAGCGTCCCCGTGCACGATTACGAGGCTCTGTGCTGCGATTGGAACAAGTGGAACGACAGCGTCATCGCCACTGGGAGCGTGGACAAGACTGTGAAGTTGTGGGACATTCGGAATCCGTCTCGAGAGCTTCGCACACTCGTCGGGCATGAGTACGCCGTGCGGCGGGTGAAGTGCTCGCCGCATTCGGAGAGCATCGTGTACACATGCTCGTACGATATGTCCGTGGCGATGTGGGACACAAAGGCTCCCGGCGAGCCGTTGTTAAATCGCTGGACGCATCACACGGAGTTTGCCGTTGGTTTGGACACGTCGTGTCTTATCGACGGTCTGATCGCATCGTGCGGGTGGGACGAAATGGTACACGCGTGGAACACAATCGATGGGTCCCCTCCGCCCGCGCCCGGGATCCGCCCTCCGGTGGGCGCGCCCATGGCGCCTCCGTCTTCGATGGGCGCGCAGCCTCACGTGCCGGTGAGATGATAAAGGGACGCATGATGCTTCGAGAGGCGATCGCACACGTAGACATAGAACACGAACACAGTAGAGCATTAATTAGGTTAAATAACAACTCGAGAAGAATGAGATGAATTCCGCGCACGTGAGTGAACTCTTACGCAGTGAACGTTGGAGTTCCCTCGCACTTGCAGCCAGACACTTGGATGATCTTGTTCGCGGCGTAGTTACCCGCGGCGCAGCACTTCGCGACGTCACCGCCTTGAACGAGCTGAGAGATGAAACCACCCACGAAGGCGTCGCCCGCACCGTTGGTGTCGACCAAGTCTTCCTTGGCGAGCGGAATGACAGCGTACTCGCTCGCGGAGCCGTCGCGAGCGACGACAGTCGGGTCGCACCCTTGGGTGATGACGACCGTGCGCGATCCCTTACCCTCGGCGGTCGGCATCGCGGCAATCTTGAGTGCGATTTCCTTGATGTCCTTGGTGTCCCAGTTTTGCGATTCGGCGAACGTCAAAGCCTCGGATTCGTTGCCAAACAAGTAATCCATGTACGGAAGCGCCTCCATGAGCGTAGCCAAGAACGGCGGCACTTGCATCAAGAATGGTGCGCTGAGGTTCATCATGAACGTCTTCTTGTTTTCGCACGCGTGCTTGGCGACGCGCATGATGCTCTCCGGGCTCACCGTCATGAAGAAACCAGCCATGTAGTAGTACGAAGCCTTCTCCACGAGCGCAAAGTTTTCGCTCGCGTTCAGGTGTTCCGCCTTGTAGTTGTTCGCCGCGTTGAGCGCCGCGCACAGCGATCGCTCGCCATCCTTCACGATAACCGCGCACGTCCCCGTGGGCGTCGAAGAGTCAACCATATAATTCGTCACCACGCCGTCCTCGGCGCACGACGCGCGCATCTGCTGCGCGAACGCGTCCTCGCCCACGCACCCCATGTACGCCGTCGCGCCCGGCTTTTGCAGCATCCACTGCGCGACACGGATGGAGTTCTGCGTCGCCCCTCCCGCGATGTACTCCACCGCGTATTTCTCCACCATTTCCGCGTACAACTCCGCGTGTTTCTCCTCGGCTAAGATCGCGTTGTTCATCTTCAGATCGTACTTTGTCAACAGCGCGTCGTCGCGCACGGTGACGGAGATATCGAGCAAGGGATTCCCCATCCCGAGCAGGGTCAACGCATCGTTCGCCATCGTCCGCCGTCGGTCGCGCGCGCGGGTGTGCGCGCGCGTCGCGATCGCGTCGCCGCCGCCACGCGATGATCACCATTCGACGAGTCACGACCCACGCGCAGTCGGGACTCGACCTCGTCCATCACCGCCCCCGACCCCATCGCGCGACGACGGCGCCCCCGCATCCGTGATGTCCGCGCATCCGCGGTACCGAGACGACGACCGCGATCGCGCGCGCGCGCGCGGTGGCGACGACGATCGCGATCGCGCGCGCGACGACCGACGACCGCGATTCGGTGCCACGGATGACGGCGACCGCGGGCGCGCGGGCGACGGACGCGATCGCCCGCCGCGGGTCGAACGGTTCGACCCGGAGGCGGATTGGCGATGTGGACAGTGTTCGAACTCGAACTTTTCGTGGAGAAAGTCGTGTAAGCGGTGCGGGCGGGTAAACCGAGAGATTTGATCGAGCGCGAACGCGAGGCGCAGCACGGATGGCTCCTGGACGGGCTGGAGGACACGACGAATCGCATCTTCATCAAAGGGTTCGACGCGGTGAGCACGAGCGAGGATGATTTGAGAGAGCTCTTCTCGGGGATCGGAATCATCTCGAGGGTGAAACAGCGCACGGGGTTTCCCGACCAGTGGCCGTACGCCGTGAAGATTTACCGCGACGAGCGAGGGGAGAAGAAAGACGAAGCGGTGATCACGTACGATGACCCGCACGCGGCGCAGTCAGCGCCGGAATTTTACAATGGGTACGAGCACAACGGCAAAAAGTTGCACGTTTCAATGGCTCAGAGCAAACCGAAAGCGCCGCCGCCTTCACAAGGTGATAACGATCGTGGCCACGGTGGACGGGGCGGTGACGACAGAGACAGAGGAGGATACGGAGACCGAGGCGGTCGCGGAGGCGGGTACGGCGATCGCGGAGGGTACGGCGATCGGGACCGCGGAGGGTACGGCGATCGGGACCGCGGAGGGTACGGCGATCGGGACCGCGGAGGGTACGGCGACCGAGGGAGAGAGCGCGGTAGGTTCGGAGACCGAGATCGCGGAGGACATCGTCCGTACTAATTTTGTGCTTGTAATTTGCATCTTAATGCTGACAACATAATGTACTGGTATCGGTACTGGTAAGGTACCGCCGTAAATACATACTAGGCAAAGAATCGCCGGAGCGGAATAATACTCGCTCGCGTATTAGGAAATAAAACAATTCAGACGGACTTCGAGAGGGCAAGAATCTTCAGGTGCCCCTTCGAGTTCGCCGCTAACAGATGTTTCGAGTCTGGAGACCAAACGACGGAGGAAATGAATCCAGCCTTATCTCGCCGATGTTGCGTCACCGGCGCTGGTTTGTCGGAGAAGCTGTAGCTCGACACTGGCACCGAGGAGTGCTTGGCGTACAGATGCACCACGTTGTCCTCAGAGCCGCACGCGATATAGCCGTCGGCATTTGCGCTCAGACCGACGAAATTTTTTTCGTTGGTGTGACCCGTGTACGTTCGAACGCACGCGGTTTGCGGATTGTTTCGCTTGACGTCCCAGAGCTTGAGCGTATTGTCAGTGGATGCAGACAGTAGTTCGTCTCCGACCCAGTACACGTAAGAAACAGCCTTTCGATGACCTTGAAGGGTGAGTAAAGGGTTATTGAGTTGACGCAAATCGTAGCAGTGGATCTTGTGGTTGGCACTCCCGATGGCGAGCAGATGAGGAGCCGTCGGATGAAATCTGACGGAGCACACGTTGGCGTGGTTCTGTATCGTGCACGTGGCTTCCTTCGTCGTCGTGGAGAAAACTCGCACGGTACCGTCGTCGGAGCCGCTGGCTAGCTTTGTCGGATCGATGCTACTAAAGTCCAGGCTCCAAACTCGCCTTCGGTGCGTGTTGTTCTCCCACGTGGACACCTCCTTGTGTACGTCCCATAGCTGCACAACTCCTTGATAATCACCCGACGCGATGGATTGCTTGACGTAATGATTGAAGCACAGCGACGAAACTTTATCGTTCGCCTCGAACTCGACCGCAGGGCAGTGCACGCGCGCACCTAGCTTCATCACCGCATCGGCTTCGTACACGCAGATTGATCGACTCGTGCCCGCTGTTGCAAAGAGCTCGCCGTCGCGATCCCAACTGGCGCAACACACCATCGAGTTATTCGCCACAAAATCCGTAACGTCACCACCGATGGAAGCGCATCGCTTCAGGGATACTGATCGCGTCACCAAACGAATTTCGCTCTCGAAATCGTCGAGGGCATTACACACGGAGTAACCGCTCCCGCCAACATTTTCCCGAACACGCTTCAGCCATGCTCCGTCTGAGTCACAATCGCTCGGTGAGGTTTGCCGCATCGCAACGATGCACTTATCGAAGAGCGAGATCTCCAGATCCTCGAAAACTTGTCTTTCTAGCGATTTCGCCGATCGGAACGCAGACTTGACCACTGAATTGAGATTCTTGTGCATCAGCGTCCCGTCGTCGTAGCAGGAAACTCCAACCTCTGTTGCTCCAGATGTGCTCTCCTTGCGGGCGCGCTTGCGTGCTGCTTCAAATCCCGTCACGTCCAAATCATGGTCTCTATCTTCATCACCGTCACTGACATGCGCCTCGGCGATCAGAATATCCAGCGTCGCGCGAGAGTGCATCAACTCGCTCATTTGCGAGAGCCGCGCCGCGTGAAGCGTCTCGAGAACAGTCTCCAAGCGCCTCAAGGTGGCAACGCGTCTCTCGCTCTCAACGCCGAAAGCCCGCGCCTCACCGGCTAGAACTCGAAATTTTTCGCTCGCGTCGCGCGCGGTCGTACGAGTGTCTCTTTTAAGAAGGGACACGACAACTTTTGCCGCCTCAAACTCACCCGTCATGGCCTGCTTCGCAAAACCACTCATCGCCAGCACTTGCGTCAGCGCCTTCTCAGGATACTCCGCCTCATAAACAGTGATGAACACTTCGGGCCAGAACATGTTTAAGATGATCAGACCGACGACAAACAGCGCATCCCGATCGTCAAGCTCCTGAGCGAGCTCAACGAACGAGCGTTCCTCGTTGTGAGCCTTCGCCGCGAAGGTAATGTCGCCTTGCGGACTGATGTTCAAGCAATTGGCATCAAACATATCGTAAGAAGCTGCGCTCGTGCCATATTTCAACCCGTCGACGAAGGCAGTGATTCTCCACGCGACGTGCCAGCGCTCCTCTTTTCGCGTCGCTTGCGCCCCAGAGGTTTCGTCGTCAAGCCACTCCCGCAAGCAACGCGCACCAGTCTCCAGACCTGCGAGCGGCGGAGGAAGGGAATGCACGACTGGCTCAGGGACAATCTGAATGTTTGATTTACCGACATCCTCGTCGATGTCCATGGTTGCTTCTTCCTTTTGCGAAACGTCTTCACCCTCTGTTTGAACTGGCGCCGAGAACAGGCTCGCCTTGGTGCTCAACCCAGCAGAGGCCAGGCTGAGCATGGACACGTTCCTACGCATTCCTGCGGGCGAGTGCACGCGATCGATGACGTTGTATTCACCTGAATTTGTCACCTCTTCGCCGTGCTGGGGCACCGACGGGACGCCGTGCACCATCTCTCCTCTATCTTCGTCGTCTTCTAAAAGCTCTTCCCCATCCTCTCCGAGCTGCGGCACGGTTCGCGACACGTTTACCTGGGACTTCCGCCACACATGCGTCCACATATGCTTCACCGCCCGTCTACTCACCGGTTTGAGCAAATAATCTTCCGCCCCGTGCTGAATACACCGGAAGACAGTGTCGCTATGCTCGTTCGCGCTCATCATGACCACGGGCATGTCTCGCAGGCGCTCGTCGTTTCGCACGATTTGAAGCAGCGCCGGCCCGTCTATTCCCGGCATCATCACGTCCGTGAGTAGCATGTGAAACTCAGTCCCTCTTCGCAAGAGCTCAAGCGCCTCCTCACCGCTCTCCGCCATCGTCACTCTGTACCCGCACCGTCGCAGCAGACTGCTCGTCACCGTCCGACAGATGCGTTCGTCGTCCACCACGAGCACGTGCACGTCCGACGTCGTCACCGGTCCATCGTTCAGCGAGCTCGTGGACGGAACACGATCCATCGACGTCGTCCCTCCGCGCACCGACGCCATCGCGCTCGACTTCACCGAACGACGCCGTCGCTCGCGCGCCCGTCGTCCCAGCGCGCGTGACGTCACTTTATGGTTCAACGCCTCGTTCGTCGACGACGCCGCGTCGTTCGCGACGCGCGCGACGCACCGCCCGCGTCCGCGCGTTCGTCTTCGACCTCGACGTCTCCACCGTCGCGCGCGCGCCTCGCGCGAGGCGCAGCCCCGGGGCGCGTCGCGTGCTGCCACCGACACCGCGCCGACGGCGTCGCGGCGAAGATCTTCCCCGCGCGCGCGGATCGCGCGGTGTCGTAGTGAAAGACATTTGAAGCCCATACAGGACCACTTCGGCGCTCTCCATGACGCGCGCGCGCTCGAAACGCCCCACACCGCGATTGTGTGGGTACACTATGGACGCGCCCGACCCGCTGGATTTCCCCACCGGTCACCACTCGCGAACGCCCCGCGCGTCGTGAACACGTCGCGCGAGACGGGGCGATCGCGGGCGATCGACACCGCGCGCGCGCGCGGCACATCAACGCACGCACGCCATGGTAGGTGACGACGACGACGCGCGATGCGACGGATGAAAACGCGCGATCGATCGGGCGTCGCGCGCGCGCGGGCGCGGGCGAGGACGGGACGAACGGCGGCTCGCGCGCGTCCTCGCGTTATCCGACGTGTGCCGCGATGGCGCGCGAGGGGTGACGGCGACGGACGCGCGAGGGGACGACGCGGACGCGCGAGCGATCGCGCGCTGCGAGGGAAAATGCTCTCCACGCGCGCGATCGCTCGAGGCGTTCGTCGCGATCGAACGCGCGCGCGGTGGAGGGAAACTTTCGGTGCAATCGTCGAGGGCGTGGACGCGATCGCGTCCAGCGCGGCTGTCCAAGTCGGAAGCGTCTCCCTCGTCGCGATCGCGGTCGACGTCGCGGTCGACGTCGAGGCGATCGCGGGGGGATATGCGCTCGCGTTCGTCCGGCGCTCGATCGCGATCGGTCATCGCGAGCGACGCCGGCGACGCTGGACGACGACGACGCGCGCCCCCCTCATCGCCTCCCCCGGGGTCTCCATCGAGACCCCGACGACGGCGCGGGCGGCGACGGCCGGAGTGGGGGTCGTGCGGGGTCATGACTCAGAGATCTCACATTTCGTGAGATGGGACGGATGAGTGGCGCTGGGGTCTCCGTTTCCATTCGACGAGTCGTGACTCTTCGATTTGGGACTCCATAGAGCTGGCGGACAGACGAGCCCGACGACGCGACGAACTCGACGACTGACGTGCGACGCGTTTTTATCTCTCACGCAGTCTTTCACTGGCCTCACCTCCACGGCTCTCCCGACCAAGGCGGAGCAAACCTTCGCGGGCCGCGTCCAGCGCCAAACCGCCACCAAGGCGACGGGCTCCAAGACGGTTGCCGCCATGAAGGGCAAGACCATCAAGGTCGCCATCAACGGCTTCGGCCGCATTGGCCGCAACTTCTTGCGATGCTGGCACGGTCGCGCCAACACGATGCTCGATATCGTGGCGATCAACGACTCTGGCGGAGTCAAGCAAGCCTCCCACTTGGTCAAGTACGACTCCGTCCTCGGCACCTTCGAGGCTGACGTGAAGATTGTCGACGACACGCACATCTCCATCGACGGCAAGAAGATCGAGATTGTGTCCTCCCGTGACCCGCTCCAACTCCCGTGGAAGGCTCTCGGCGTCGACCTCGTCATCGAAGGTACCGGTGTCTTCATCGACACCCCGGGCGCGAGCAAGCACATCACCGCCGGCGCCTCCAAGGTTCTGATCACCGCTCCGGCCAAGGGCGACGACATCCCGACCTACGTGCTCGGTGTCAACGCTGACGGTTACAAGCACAGCGATAAGATCATCTCCAACGCCTCGTGCACGACCAACGGCCTCGCGCCGTTTGTGAAGGTGATTGACGAGAAGTTTGGCCTCGTCAAGGGCTTGATGACCACCACCCACTCCTACACTGGTGACCAGCGCATCCTCGATGCGTCCCACCGTGACTTGCGCCGTGCTCGCGCCGCGTGCTTGAACATCGTGCCGACCTCCACCGGTGCCGCCAAGGCTGTCGCGCTCGTGTTGCCGCAACTCAAGGGCAAGCTCAACGGTATCGCGCTCCGCGTGCCGACGCCGAACGTGTCCGTTGTCGATCTCGTCGTGCAAACTTCCAAGAAGTGCACCGCCGACGAAGTCAACGCCGCGTTCCGTGAAGCCGCCAACGGCCCGCTCAAGGGCATCCTCGCCGTCGCTGACGAGCCGCTCGTGTCCTGCGACTTCCGTTGCACCGACGTCTCGTGCACCATCGACGCTGCGCTCACGATGGTCATGGGTGACGACATGTTGAAGGTTGTCTCGTGGTATGACAACGAGTGGGGCTACAGCCAACGAGTTGTGGACTTGGCGGAGCTCTGCGCGGCGAACTGGGAATAAACGCTTCACTGCCGAGTTCCCTGTTCAGTAGGGACGCGACAAACTCGACGTAGAGACCCACCCTCAGGTATAATACTACAGTCAATCATCATTTCGTTTCCTGTTTTCAAAATTCGCCCCCTACTTCAAACACAAACGGCAAGAGACCGAGTGGACGCGCGAACGTAATATCGAGCTAGAATGTGAATGAATATATATCAGATTCCAAAGTTCTCACTATACCGTAGTGCAATACGTCTAGGCTATACCTTTACTTGGACATGGTGGTGGCGATTGAGCTCGATTCCTTCCAGTTGACGCCCGGGAGGATGAGGCGTTGGTCGACGCGGTCCTTGTACTCCATGATTTGCTTGAGCAGCGTCTCCAAGAATTCGCCACGCATGAGGATTGGGTCGAGGCCGAGGTCTTGAAGCTTGGAGTTCTTCGCGTTGTAATAGTGCTCTTCCAACTCCGTGCGCGGGTTGGGGACGGTGATGACCTCCGGGTTCAGGCCAACCTTCTGACCAGCCTCAGTGATCATAGCCGCGAGCTCGTTAACAGAGAATTGCTCCGTGAACTGGTTGTAAATCTTCATATCACCCTTCGGCGCCGGATTGTCGCACGCGATTTGGATGCATCGCACGGTGTCCTTGATGTTTAAGAAGCCGCGGGTTTGACCACCCTTACCGTACACGGTCATCGGATGACCAACGGACGCTTGGATAACGAATCGGTTGAGAGCCGTACCGAAGACGGCGTCGTAGTCGTAGCGGTTCACGAGATCCGGGTGCATGTCGCACTCATCCGTGGAGAGACCGTAGACAACACCTTGGTTCAAGTCCGTGCAGCTCAGCTGCCACGCCTTGGTGCAGAAGAGCATGTTGGCGGAGTCGTGGCACTTGGACAAGTGGTAGAAGGAGCCACCTTGCTTCGGGTATGGCAAAGTATCCGTGCGACCGTTGTGAGTGATGGTGATGTAACCTTCCTCGATGTCGATATTCGGGGTACCGTACTCACCCATCGTGCCAAGCTTGACCATGTGGCAATCCGGCGCGAACTCCTTGATGGCGTACAAGACATTGATCGTACCCATGACATTGTTCGTTTGCGTAAACACGGCGCGGCTGCGATCCATCATGGAGTACGGAGCGGAGCGTTGCTCACCAAAGTGAACGCACGACGTCGGGTTGAACTTCTTGAACGCCGCACCGAGGAACTCGTAGTCGCAAACATCGCCAACGAAGAGATCGATGTCGAGTCCGGTCACCTCCTTCCAGCGGCGAACGCGTTCATGGATGCCCTTGATCGGAGACAAAGAGTTGAAACCGAGCTGGTCGTCCATGGTGCGTCGGCACAAGTTGTCGACGATGGACACAGCGTAGCCGCGCTTGGAGAGGTGGAGCGCCGTCGCCCAACCGCAGTAGCCGTCACCACCGATAATCATGACTCGTTGACCTTTACCAGCGTCCGGGGCGTCGGCATCCGGGCGGTGCGCTGCCGTCACGACGAAAGAGCGGGTCGCGCGAGCGGCTCGTTGCGTCGGAGCTTGCGCCTTCAAACTGTTCGCTACTCGTCGAAACATCAGGTCGTTCCTTTGTCAGTCTCAGAGCTCTCTCACGGTCGCGATAGGTTCGCATAGATTTCTTAAACGGGTGACCATCCAATTCGTCAACGCGCATGGGCTCGATCGACGCGGTCAACTCCGTTCGTCTTTGCGCGTCGTCTTTGCGCGCGTCCGTCGCACTTTCAAATCTCCAGATCGCTCGCCCTCACGTCCCACGACTGCGTCGATCGCGCGCTCGAGTTCGATTGAAGACGCACCCTTAAAGAATGAAAACGAACGCGGCGTCGCCACCGGAACGGCGCGCATCGCTTGACCTAGAACGTTCGAACGAAGACGAGATCGTCGTTAGTCGAGAGAATATTTCACTTTTTGACAGTCACGCGCCGATGGCGCGCGCGTCGGTGGGTTTTCTCCTCCCGCGCGCGTTCGACGTCGACCCACCTCTCTTGGTGGTCGTTTGGCGCGATCGCGCGCGCGCGTCGAGGGTGATGCGAGCGAGGGACGAGGCCACGGCGGACATGGTGCGCGCAAATATCCGGACTTTAACCAGGGTGACGTCGACTTTATCCACTAATAATATTCCGACGGTCGGGGCGATGATGTGCTTCCACGCAGAGCGAGTGTAGAGGCGACAGAAACGAGGGAGGCGACGATGGAAACCTGTGAAGGCGCGCGCGATTGAAACGTTCACAACGGGCACGGTACTCACGATTGATCGCGCACGTTGGCGGCGACGATGGGCGCCGCGACGTCTCGCATGAGCTCGTACGGGGCGCGCTTGCTCGGCCACACGCTCGCGACGACGTCGTCGAACGACTTCCAATCCAATCGCTCAAACTCTCGAGTCTCGCCGTTTAATCCCGAGAGATTCACCGCGGGATGGTTGGAGGGATCCTCCATCGCGCGCGCGTCCTCGTCGCTCTTCGCCCGCCATCGGAAGAGACAAAATTCTAAGCGCTGTCCCGCCAAGCCGCGGTCGGCGAGCCACGACGCGCCGTCGACGCGATACGCGTACCCATCGTCCTCCGGTAATGCCCCCACGAGCTCCGCGACGCCATCTTTCCCCACCATAATACCCGTCTCTTCGTACAGCTCCCTCGACGCCGCGTCCTCTAAGCTCTCGTTCTTCTCGATTCCTCCCTGCGGCATGTTCCACGAACCCGGTCTGTCGCTCCGCTCGCCGACTAGGATCATCCCTCGATCGTCGAACACCACCGCGCACGCGCATCGTCGATACCTCTCCCCGCGCACCATCACCGAGCGACTCTCTGGGTACGGTTTCCCAGACTTCTTCATTCGTTTCTCAGTCTTCTTTCGTCGTCTCTCCGAATCCGAATCCAAATCCGAATCCATCGACGCTCGCACCGATCCCGCGGCCGTTCTCGCGACGCGTCGTCCCGTCGTCGTCGATCCCGCGCGCGTGGCCGCGCGTTCGCGCGCGCGCGCGAGGACTCCGACGCCGAGCTCGGACGCTCGACGCGCGCGCGCGACGATCGCTCGCATGCGCGACCGCGTCGACGCTCGACGGTTGCGCCGAGCGACTCGCGTCGCGCGATGGGGCGCGCGCGCGCGCGAGTGACCGCACACGCGCGCGCGCGAGGAGCGATCGAGCGCGAGCGCACGTCGCGACGAGTGACGGTGCGCGAACGGGCGAGCGGAGACATGGGACGGACGCGCGCGTCGACGCGCCGGGAATGGCTGGGCGCGATCGGGACGATCTTCCTCGTCCTCGGTCTCGCCCTCTTCGCCGCGCCCGCGCTCGCGAAGGAAAAGCGATCGCCGAAGGTGACGGATAAGGTGTTCTTTGACATCACGATCGGTGGTGAACCGGCGGGAAGAATCGTCATGGGGCTGTACGGGAAGACGACGCCGAAGACGGCGGAGAACTTCAAGCAACTCGCGACGGGGGAAAACGGATACGGCTATAAAGGGTCGAGCTTCCACCGCGTGATCAAGAACTTCATGATTCAGGGAGGTGATTTCACCAACCACGACGGTACGGGAGGCAAGTCCATCTACGGCGCTCGATTCCCGGATGAAAACTTCAAGCTCAAGCACGAGGGACCGGGCACGCTGTCGATGGCCAACGCCGGACCGGACACGAACGGATCTCAGTTCTTCATTTGCACCGTCAAGACGAGCTGGCTCGACGGTCGACACGTCGTTTTCGGTCGAGTGCTCGAAGGCATGGACGTTGTGACGGCGATTGAGAACCTCGAGGGGACGCCGCCGACCAAGCCGGTGGTGATCGTCGATTCGGGCGTTCTCGAAATCGCGGAGGAGCTTTGAATTGAGAGAACGAATCATCTTAATTTACCATGGAATAGAAGACGTCGTGAATTGTAACGAAACGTCTCACTATATGCAAAGCTATAGTACTACTGGTAGTATTACAAGTGAATTTACGCTCGAGTCGACGCGATGGACTCGAGCATGGCGCAAACGTCCGGGTGGCGCTCGGGCTCGATGGCGCTCCGCTCGTCCACCGTGATCTCCTCCACGACGTGCGCGACGTTGGCCAGAAGCTCGCAGACTTGTTTGCCTGCAGCGCCTCGACGCGTGATTTCTGTCTTGATTCTGTTCTCGGCCAAGCGAGCGCGAAGTCTTTGGGTGAAAAATTGCCGTGACGTCTCCCACGGGATGACATCCTTGATCGCCTTCTTGTGCAACATCACTCCTGGAGTGTCGTGCAGCGCGGCGAAGTGAACCGCGAGCTGCTTGAACGTCGGCATGAGCGCTTGTTTCTTCGCATCGTCGTCATGGGAGTCACCTAAGCCTCCAGGAACGGTGCGCTTCATTGTCGCGAGCAAGTCTTGGCGCCTAAACTTGATGTCAACGATACCCTCGGGTTCTAAGACGCCTCCTCTAGCGCCCTCTGCTGCGTAGAATTCCATCTGTTCCGGATTGATGGAACTATCGATGACGACCCACGCGCCACCGCGAAGCTCACCACCTTGCGGGATATAAACAAACACGGGCTGGTTGTACTCGCGAAGAGCGTCGACGATGTAGGCGCCATACTTGAGCACCTCGCCGTACATATCACGCAAGCCGCCGGCGAAACCTCGCCAGTTCGCGAAGATGATGAGAGGCAGCCCTTCACGATTCATATCACCGATAGCTTGCGCCGTCTTGAACGCACTATCAGGGAACCAAACCTGACCAGCTTGAGACTCTTCAGCAATTTGCGCGCTTGCAAAGGCCGGATCAGCGGGAATCGTCTTGTTCACCGTACGCGTCTCCACGGCAACGGCGCCTATAGGAATACCACCGAGGCGCGCGCGTCCAGTAACGACAGTCCGACCCCACTCTGGCATGATCTCCATGAAAGAATGCGCGTCGAAAAACGATTCAAGCATTTCTCGGGGATCATACGGCGACTGTGGCGGATTAAACGTGACGAAACGCCTCACCGGATCAATCGAAGATAAGAACGGAAGCGCTTCTCCGCGTCGACGAGGGATGTAGGATAACCATTGAAGGATACTCCTGACACCGCCGACGTCGTCGAGCACGGTGAGATGTGAAACTCCGTTCGACCCCATGACCTTAGAACCACCGATCTGCGCATTGCTCGTGTACACCTCTCGGCCGAGCACCTTGTTGAGCGCGCTCGCTCCAGTCAAAATGAGTGGTGCATCAACCTGCTGCACCACTCGCTGGCACAAGCGAGAGCAATACGCACCGATGCCAACGCTTCTACCAGTGACGTACGCGATTGTGACTGTGCTCTTGTACGCTCGACTCGTCGCCGCGGCGATCTCGCCGGAACCTTGTAAACATTCAACGCTTTGACCTCCGCACACATCCGTGAGAGCGTAGTGAACCTCGTCGTCAGAGACGATTTTATTCGCCTTGACCCGACCCTTGGCGGATAAAATTTCGTAGTCATCTTCGCTAAGATAGATATACTTGAAGCCCTTGGACACGTCGGCGTCGTCGACCCAGCGCACTCTGAATGCTGCCTTGACAGCCTCATCAAGACCGATACGCGCACCGCTATTCGAGCTTAGATAGACGCAAGGCAATCCTTCTTCGACGGCTAAATCGAACGCCGCGCGGTAGATTGCGTCTTCAGGGGGTGAGAGGGATCCAGACATGTGTGTGATGTCGTTTGCGACGAGAATGATCTCCCGACCCAATGGATATTCCCTCGTCGCCAAGGAGACACGCCAGCAAACCATACCGACGTCATTCAATCCGTGCGCGCGGTCAGTGCGTGTAAGAGAGCCCGTATCAGGGTCGAGAATGAGTTCGGCGAGGTCGAGGATGTTACCAACCCCGGGGTTCATCTCCGAGTTGACCGCGGAGAAAACCTCTGGGAAATCGTACACATACGTCGAAGACAAGTTCTGACAAGCCATACGTTTGCGCTGAATCTTGTTCAACAGTGGATGCACTTCTCGCTTAGCGCAGCAATCCATTGACTTGGCGATCTTGAACCTCAGCCCGCTCGTGTTTTCCGCGATGACGCATCCTGTGCCGATGCGCACTTCAACGCACGCAACCTTGAGTCGCCGCAAATCCTCAAACGCGTGATGGATGAATGAAGAGATAGCGCCCTCAACGCTCGGCAAATCGTCCTCCGCATCGGCACCGACGAGGTTAATAAAGACGTGATTTGCCGCCGTGCGATGACGCCCTACGGCGAGCTCCAAAGATCCGAGAACGTCAGCAAAAACGCTATCATCATGCGCGTTTCCGGTGCCTCGCGCATCGCTGCGCACAGCATCGAACGATGCTCTCCGCCCATCCAACGACGCGTTACTCTCGAAGAGTAGATCTTTGTTGTACACTGCTGCTCGTAAGAAGACACGACGATCGCGTTGAGGTTGTTTGTGACCAAGCTTGACGCTCGGCTCTTCCGCAAGGAAGACACCAATTGTGTACTCGGATGGTGAGACGAAATTGGTGTGGCGCTGATAGGTGCGCGAGCTCAGCAATCCGACGCATTCCACGCGGAAAAGCGCTAGACGTTCGACCTCAAGCTGATCGGCGACGTGCGGCCAGAAACCACGAGCGCTCGGCATCTCTACGAAACCCTCAGAGGTGGAATCCTCTGAGACGCGCTCGAACGTGAAATGATGCGGCTTGGCGTCTAGCGCGAGAAGGGTGACAATGACGTGCTCAAGACTCTCGCATTTGAGAGCCCCTGCCAAGTACTGACCGGTCACGAACGCCTCAGCCGCGGCTCGAATATCAGAATCGTTTCTGCCGACCAATCTGTGATAGGATATGATGAAGTGTAACTTCTTTGGATTGCTTGACGTTGCATCCGGAAGTGCGGCAACCGCGTGGCCGAGTGACGGAGCAAACAAGTGGGTCGTGTCATCGAGCGCGAGTCGCACGACTTCTGGCTCGCACGGAACCGGTTCCGGTCGTGCATTCGGAATCGTGAACGTTCGCACACCAGCCGCGGCAAAAAGAGTCTCGATCGCTGTGAGCCTTGAGGTTTCTGAAGTGCTGTCGAAGAGACTTTCCCACGTGTGCGCCTGCAACAACTCGTCGGCAATCTCGTCGATGTTTTCATACGACTGATAGCGCGTGATAGAGTTATGACTGTCCAAGAAAATGTTACCGATGTAGCGCTTGGATGATTCCGCGTTGCTTTCGCTCGCGCTCGCGGGCTCTGTGTCGCTCAAGAGATCCGATTCACTTCCAACGCTCAACTTTGACAAGGACCCCGAGCGACGAGATTTGCGCCGTGATTCCTCGATCGACAGTTGAGCAAACGCCGAGAAAGACTCGTCTCTAGACATCCTATTCGCTCTTGAGGCGGCCGCCATTCGAGCGCGTCTAGACTTTCGCGTGATCTCCTGTTTTCTGACGATGATTTCCCGTGCCGTCTGCGCCACGTATTCGTAATCTCGGCCAGAGAGGTTCATACAACGCACCACGGCGTCGTGACACGGAGTGATGTCAATCATATCGTGGAACGAAACTTGATCGAGAATTTTCGCGATGAGATCGGAACGACGTTTGAGTTTGGCGTTCGCGTGAGCGTACTTGGCGACGACGGAGACGTCGTTGCGATAGCGGTCTCGCAAGAACATGATGGCGTCCTCTGTCGAGCCACACCTGGAGAACGGCTCTTCAACGTCCAGAAACGTTTCAAGATAACGTGTCACTACGCGAGCTCGACTTTGTGCCAAACCACCGCTGTGACGCTCGCAAAACGCTGCAAGAGGTGCGAAGTCGGCTCCATATTCATCTATCAAATGCCGAATTTGCGAAACCGCCACCGAAACAGCATCTGTGGTAGCGTCACTGTTCGAGTCAGCGATGATCGACGCTGACATCGTTTCAGCGATCTCTCGGAGATCATCACGCGCTTTCGGTTTCGCGCGAGAGATGACCGCCTCCCTGGACTCCATGAAGTCATCGACGACGAGAGGAAGAGTGCCAAGTACGTCGAAGAGCACCTCCAGCGGATCACCGTTGAAGTCGTAGCCTGCTAAAATTTGAACCACACCCGCGTTTGAACGAGTAAATCGCGCAAGCGGCGAATCATCGGGCAACATACCAATCAGTGACCTGGTTCGCATTCTCGTAAAATCGCCCGTGAACGGCTTGGATTGCTGCACGCCTGAGACATCTTCCACATCTACATTGCACAGAACATCGCCAGCCTCCAAGATAGCACCGATTCGTGCGATGTGTCGAATAATCCCTGTACTCGTCGCAATTAACGGCATGACAGTTTTCATCACTTCTATCTCACAGTACGGCTGGTTCGCCACCACTCGCTCGCCATCTTCAACTAAAAATTTGAGCAGTTTCCCCGGCCCCTGCGCGACTAGCTTGGTGGCGTCAAAATCGTCCGGGAAGAAGCACGGTCGTCCGTTCACGTGAATCTTCACGCCCACCTTCGTTTGTTCGGGGTATACCAAGTAAGCCTGACCGTTCAGCAGCACCTTCAAACCACCATCGGGCAATTCCATAACCTCCGCCTCGATGAGTGCCCCGTTGATGTGAAGATAAAATGAAGTCTCACTACCCATGGTGACTCGGAGACTGTACTTGATGTCGTTGTAAATCAGTTCAAATTTGTGCTCACTAAGATTCGTCATCCACGGCTCCGGAGGAACGCCGCGATTGAGGCATGCGGCGACCTCGGCTTCGAGGTTCTGATGCCTGCTCGATGACTGAAGAACAGCGCCGCACGCGACGATGATGTGATCCTGCAACGGTTCGGACTTGTCATTCGCAGCGATGAGACCGTCCAACCACGCGGTGTCGTGTTCATCCATGATGAATCTCTGTTTTTCCAACAGCTTAATGAGATATGCCTTGTTGCAGTGAATCTCTCCTCGAACGCTCAACTCACTCAGCGCGTGGGCGAGCAGCGTGATTGCCTCCTCGCGCGTCGGCTTGATGGCGAAAACGTGACCGAACTGCGAATCAGCAAATTGATGTACACCGCCGGAAGTACCAATCGAGAACGAGCCATTGACGCCCGGAAGTGATCGAAAATGAAGCTCGTGAATTGTGCCCGAAGTCGGTTTGAAGCCGCTATCCGGATTCTCCGCGGTAATTCTTCCTGCGACGCAGTGTCCGAGAGGAGCGATCGGCGCAACGTTGTCAAAATCGATCGACGACACGCCGTGAACGTCGTCTTGCTTGAAGAATCGGCGCACATCTGGGATCTTGTTCAAAGGAATGCCCATGGCCAACTGTAGTTGCACGGCAGGCAGGTTCACCCCAGTGATTTGCTCTGTCACCGGATGCTCGACTTGTAAGCGCGGATTTACCTCGAGGAAAGAATACTCGCCGGTTTTGATGTTGTAAAGATATTCAACCGTGCCCACGCCACAGTAACCGACTTTCTTTGCTAAGCGAACCGCGCCGCGTTCGAGTTCCTCGCACAACGCTCGCGGCGCGATGGTGATGGGACCCTCTTCGATTATCTTTTGGTGCCTTCGCTGAACGGAGCAGTCTCGTCCATAAAGTGCGATCGCCTGACCGTGCTTGTCCGCCACCATCTGGACCTCCAAGTGTCTCGAATCTACGCTAAGCTTTTGAATGAAAATTGGTGACCCCGGAACCTCCGCTTGCACTTGCGCAAAACCAGCTCTGAGATCTTCCATCGAGTTCACCTTCCGAATGCCCTTTCCTCCACCGCCTTCGGAGGCTTTGATCATGACGGGAAATCCGATGTTCTTCACCGCATTTTCAGCTTCGTCAACCGTCGACAAGGTTGCTTGATCTAATATGTCACCCGGAATCTCTGTGCCCAGCACTGTCAGACCGCTTCCCGACCACGGGATTACGTTCACGTTGCAAGACTGCGCGAGAATGTTCGCGCAAATCTTATCACCGACAGCATCCATGGCAGAAGCAGGCGGACCGAGAAATGCGATGCCGTAGTATGCCAACTGGAACGGCAGCTGCGGATTCTCACTCGCGTGTCCCCAACCCGGCCAAACGGCGTCGACACTACATTTTCGTGCCACCTTGACGATCAGATCCACGTTTGCGTAGTTGTTTCTGTTGCTTCCACCGTCTACCGTGACGAATTCATCGGCCATCCTGATGTACCTATGTTTAGAACGCGTCGATCCGCACCGTCAGTCTCCACGTGTTTAGCATTTGACACGCTCGATGATCACCGTTTCTTCTACGAACCGCGGTCCAGTCGCGCCGAGTCATGTCGTGCATACGTACTCTGCGTTAGCGTGTAAATCATCCTGCGTAGCCATGCAGACAAAGTGTAGAACTTCCCGCGACTTGAAGGTCTCGTACGCCCACTGCCGCATCGATCGGATCGCCTTCACCGCTCCCACTGCGCGCGTTCACGACGCAGCGTCTACAGTCAGTCATCGATCGCGAGATAACGACGTTTTTAAACATCTTCTACGGCTCTCATCCCCACAAAGTCGTCGAGACGGGTTAAAAACGAGAACGAATGTTTCGTTTCACCGAGGCGTTACGCTCGAGGCGTCCGGTCGTCTCCTTGGGGAATCTCAACAGCGTTCGCTCGTTCGCGGTGATCGTCCGCGCGTGTCTCGAGGTCGATCGCGCACGTACGTCCGTTGTTCGCGATCAACACTTTTCGGATCGCTCGCGATCCTCCGCGGCTGAGGACGTAGGACTCGTACGCCGTGCTCACGAGGTCTTCACCACGTCGTGCGGAATGCGTCGACGCGCCCGGGCTCTGCGCGTCGCGCGATTCGTGCGCTGACGTGGGCGATGGGCGGGAGGCATCGTCCTCTGGATTTCCATCCATCGCGTTCGTCATCGACGCCGCGCTCGACGATGAAGCCGACGCGTCGCGCTCTGAGATTAGGAGGCAGCGGGGTGCGCCGTGGATCGATGATGCGATGTCTCGTTGATACAAATTTCAAGCCAACCTAAAATCGAACACCCTCGGCGGCTGGGGCGGGCGTTTCGTCGTCATCGCGCGCTTCGTCGTCGTCCTCTGTCTCAGAATCAGTCAACGGACGGGCTAAGATGGCTGCCTCCCGAGCATCGCGTTCACGGTCGGCCAACGTGTCCATTTCGGTGTGAAATAACCACGGAGCGAAACCGGCGACGCGCGAGGCGGGATCGATGAGCGGAGCCACGAACTGCGTCACTGGACGCGAGAGCGTGACCTGAGAGACTATGAGTGGCAGAACGAAGACACCGATGACGATTTGACTCACGACGTCGATATCGTCGTCGTCCCACATCGAACTCATCACGTCAAAGTAGAGCGTGATGAAGACTCGGTGCAGCAGGTACGTAGTGAGCGTGCGAGAACCGAGCTCGGTGAAAAAGTACTCCCCTCGTGGGACAAGGCACATGAATGCCACGGAGCAGAATGCGACTCCGACGAAGAGAAGAATTCGCCACAGGCACTCGAGGATCGGATGGTACCAGTTCGTGAAGCCGTACGGTTTCTGGGTGAATAACCACTCGCTCACCTCTTCGAACGGTTCGCCGAGATAGTCGGACAGCATGAAGCCACCGTACACGAGACCCAAGCCCATGATTCCGGTGGTGATGCGAACGGAAGAATTACCTATAAACGTTGTCACTCTATCGAAGTGCTCACGTTTCACGAACACGGCGCCGACGTAAAAGTAGAGAGCAAACGTGCACACGCGCTGCCAATCTAAAAAGGTGTGACCATTCTTCATCGTTGGCGTATCCGTGAAGCCGACAGCGATGGCTAACCCGCACACCAGCCCGTAAATTATCCCGTCCTTCATACCGCCGATCAATAAGATACTATTTCGCCAAATCCACAGCGCGAGCAAGAACCAAGTGACGTTGAGAGGCGCCCACCACTGCAGCGGCCGAACGTCGACGTACTCGGTGGCGATGTAGATGGCTTGCCACAACACCCACGCCCCTATGAGAGCCCCCGTGGACTTTCTCACGCGCGAGAGCATTCCCGCAGCTTTTAAATCGTGCTCACGCGCAATGTCCAACCAAGATTTGCTCTGAAACCCGACAATGGCGGTGAACAGAGGCATCGCAAATGCTCCCAGCGTCAAATACAGCGCTCGAATCCATGGAAGCGATGGTTCCAACACATCCATCTTCGTCTTTCGAACACTTAAAGTCTCCGCATTTATCATAACGGCGGTATTTAGAAAGTCTTCCAACGCGTGCTGCCACACAACAAGCGTCATCAACAAGTATTTGGCGTTCTCAAGATAATGGATCCGCGACGCCGCGTCCAAGTGCTCGTCGTCGTTCCACGCGGCCCACGAGAAGAACGAGCGCGCCTCCTTCGGCGTCGACGCGTCCGCCTCCTCGCTCCCGTACGTCGATGTCGACGCATTCATGGGTTCGCTCTCGTTCTTCGTCTCATCCTTGGCGGACGTCGCGCGGTCGAGCAAACCGCTTATAAAACCGAACGCCGAGCTCATGGCGAGCGACTAACACCCAGCGCGAGCGCGTCGCGCGTTCGAGCGAGAACGCGACGGAGACGACGAGCGGTGGCTCCAGGTGCGGTCCCACGTCGTTCTTCTCTCGCCGAGAAAGCCGGATCGAGACTAGGCGTGGATTCGGCGGTCGCTCGCGTCGGCGCGCGCGATAGAATGGTGTTATGCCGGTCGGTTTCGTGTGTTGTGGCACGTTTAGGGACCGGTATTAGTTGAAACTATCTTTCGGTACGCGCGACTATTGCGTCGAAGCGACGTGTTGGACCTCCCAAGGAACGAGCGTAATTGGAAATCGGCCACACGTCGCGCACGCGCGCGCTACGGAGGTGCCGACGTCGAAGAGCCACGCGCCGGCGGCGGAGTGAAACGGACGAAGAACATCGCTCAAGCTCTGTGACGTTGGCTCAATGACTGGAAAATCGACGTTGTGTAGACGCTCGGTGCGTAAGCGGACGCTTTTCGGGAATGCATATGGAGTCCAGAACCGAACCAACACGTCGTCGATGGGGAAGGTGATGAGCACTGAGGCCGCGAATACCATCACCAGACGTGCAAGCACCGTGCTCGCGTGAAGGACGAGATATGAGGCGTAGTAGAAGAACACGGTGGGGAGGAGCAACATGAGTGGTGGGAGAGTCAACGTTCCGACGACCGTCTCCTCCACCGTTCTCGGTCGAACGGTTGGCTCCTCGAATCCCCTCGGTGGAGTCTTCGGATTGATGAAGCGCCGATACACGAATACGATGCATCGAATCTGTAAGGTGATGAATAGCGAGCTGTACAGATGTAAAGCGCTGATATGCGTTGTGAACAACGTCATTGTATCCGCTGCGATTGCGAGCATCATGGACGCTCCGAACACACTGCCGTGACGTAACAAGAACGAGACGTACCCGGTGAAGAATGTCACCATTTGCGCTGAATTCATAGACAATGACAGCGTGCGCACAAAGCTCACCACCACTGAACCGATAAATCGCGCCAAGGGTACGTGTAACTTCACGCCCAGCGGGTTTCCCCTTGATATCCACTGCGCGTTGGATTCGATGACGCTGGAAGCGACCAGGTTTCTCGATCCACGTTCTGCTCCCAATCCACCGACGACGAGCCTTTTAATTGTGCTCTCGACGTCAAACAACTTGCACATGCGAGCAAGGGCGGCGCCCACGATCAAATCAACGGTTATTTGTACCGCTCGCGCTACGCGCCGACGCGTGTTTAATCTATCCAGCCGTCTCCAACTCCCTCCGCCTTCGATCAACAGCGATCGAAACAACCGTAGACGCTCTCGCAAGACGCACGCCGACGCGAACACCTCGCACACGCTTCGTCGGATAAATCCACCGCCCCAACGCGTCTCCTTCCCCAAGCTCGCGATGAATTTGTAATCTAAAGCTCTCAAGAGTCCATCTATCGCGAGCAGCGCCATGGATGCCGCGCCGCTCGGCGACACGCTGCTCGACGACACCGCGTCGATGGGTCGCTCGCCTCTCCGCTCCCGCGCCGCGCGACCCGATCGATTCAGATCCTCCAGCGCACGATCGAACGCGCACGGCTCGTCTCGCTCGATTGGGTACACCTTCAGCGGTGGATCCGGCGTCTCGTACAGGATCACCCTGACTTGATCGACCCGTCTGACTTTCCCGTTTGCTCGAGCGACGAATGCGGCGACGCGAGGCGCTCGCGCGCTCGACACGTGAAACGTCACCCATACCTTCACCCCTCGATCGCGCATCGTTCTCCCGATCGCATCGATGTCCTGCTTCTCTCTCTCATCGTCATCGTCCGCCCCATCGCTCGCGCGCACGACGGCACCGACCGGTATTCCATCATCATGCGTCTCTCCGCGCTCGTCCGAGACGCCGAACGCGACGACGTCCACGGCGCGGTCGTCCGCGTCGCGACGCACCGTCCCGCGCACGGTGCACGACACGCGCGTGGAGTGAAATATCTCGCCGTCGATCGGGACGAACACGCGCGCGGAGGCGTCGAACATGCGCGCGCGCGCTCGATGATGGGTCTCGACCACGTGTGACGCGCCGCGGTCGTTACTCGCTCGCGACCGCGCGACGCGGGGTGACGCGACCGCGCGCGCGCGCGATGCGTTGGATGACGCGATGGAAAATAATCTCCACGCTCGCCTCGCCGCGTCGATCGATCGCGATCGATCCCTCGTCGACGACGGTCGGGACGTCTTCGGCGAGCGCGCGCGAGAGGTCGTGTTGGAGTTCGCGCGCGCGTTGGAGTTCGACGACGACGAGCGCGTCGACGGATATCGATGACGACGCGGACGGAACGACGGAGAGTGGACAAGTGCGGGCGTTGATGCATTACTGCACCTCTCTGCGAGACGTCCTGTCGAGGTTCGTGGACGCAGAGGCGCTCGCGTCGTCGCGCGCCGTAGTCGTCGAGCGGTGCAGAGAGATGCGTAGGACGCTCCCGGTGACGTACAAGTCGGGGACGCCGTTCATGAGCTCAGGGGCGCTCTTTACCGCGTTCGCGTTTGAACTCGAGCGAGCGCGAAGCGCGGAACATTTAGCAGAGATTCAGAACGTCGTCACGGCGTGCGCCGAGGGAGGATTGGTGCCGTATCACAGCGCGCGAGAGAGCTACGGGCGCGTGAGAGACGCGTTACGAAATCACGGCGACGACGACGCGCGACGTGCGCTGGAATATTTTTCGGGTAAGCGCGTCGAGGCGCCCGTTGACTTCGCCACGGCCGAGGACGTGACGCCCTGGACGCTCACGCGCAATACGCCAAGCCTGGATGCCAAAATTGTAGCCGCGGCGATGGAGGTACAGAGAACGGGATTCGCGGTCGTCGACGGTGTGCTCGGAGAGCAAACATCCGATACGGTGCGTCGCGCGTTGGATGAGTTTGTCGACCAATCGCCGGCGTTCATCAAGGGCGAGCTCGACAGGACCGAGCGGCACGTGATCGGCGACGAGGCGGTGGATAAAATGCGGGACGATTGGATATGTTGGCTGAGCGGCGACGAGGACGACCCAATGGTTGGTGCCTTTTGCCAGTTTCTTCGCGTGACGCTTCTTAATCCGTTACACTTGGCGCTCGGTACCCCTCTTGCGCCCGTGGATTCTTACGTCTCAAACGCCATGCTGAGCGTTTACGAGCCGGGGGCGCGCGGATTTGTCTCGCACGTCGACAACTGTGGTCCCGACCTGGGCGATGCGCGAGCTCTTTCGGCGGTTTACTACCCATCATCGTCGGGCGAGGACGAGGGCGGGGCGCTGAAGCTGTTTCCAGACCATCCGACGCGTTGCGTCACAGTGACACCGACCGCCGACAGACTTGTGCTCTTCGCCTCGGCTCGAGTGCCGCACTGCGTGACGAGTCGCAGCTCGGATGCCAAGCGGCGCGTCGCGGCGTCGTTTTGGTACGTTGGCGATCCCAACGCGATCGGTCCGCAATAGACACACTAGCAGAAAACGGACATACTACCTATCGATATGGTGCAATTCACAAAGATTCGAACTAGCCGTAAACTCAACGCATCCATCGCTAGCTCTGCGCCATGTCGTGCAAGCGACTGATGTTCTCTTTGGGCGAGCGTTAAAAACGATCCCGTTCACGTCGCGGCGTCTTTTCCAGCGTTTCGCTTGCGAACCGTCTTGTTGTTGCCGAAAGCAGAGTTTGGAGATACTCCAAACCCGCTCGCGACAAACGTAGGTGCTGACCCTACCGCGAACTGTGGAGGAAGGATTTGTTTCGCCTTGACGGGAAAAGCTCTCGCGGGAACGGGATTCGCTTCATCGTCGGCACGCTCCTCAGAATTGTTTTCGTCCGTCGCTTCGTCGTCGAGCGCGTCGTCAAACGTGGGGTCCCAATCCGCTCCTTCGGCTCTATCTTCCTCGGTAACTTCGCCATCCGGACTCGGGGAAGCCATGGGTGGCGACTGCGACTCAGGCACAGGCTGCAATGTCTTCAAGTTCTCGCGCGAAGCTGAAGCTGACGCCAATGGACTCCATCCGAAGCCAGAGGGAGCGCCCGAGTACGAAGTTGCCGGCATAGCCTGCGCGTTCGGCGCCATACCACGAGCGAGCGTCGTTCCTCGCTTACCAAGCGGACTTGCGGAAGGAAGGTGCACCGCAGCCGCCGCTTGCGCAGCGCGCACTTGATGCGACGTCGACAACCCCATATTCGACAGCTGTTGCGTAGGCGGCGACATACCAAAGTGTAGTGGATGCATGGCCGCGCTATTCATAGCGTGAGGAGAACCGATGAACGAGCTAGACAGCAATGTGGACGACGACTGATACGAGCCGCCCGCGGAACCGACGACGAACGGCGGGTATCCTCCGCCGACGCCACCGCCCGGGGACATGGGCACTCCGCCCGGGGACATGCCGATGGCGGCGAGCGTCGCCGCCGCGTGCGCGTGCGCCGCAGCTTGCGCTTGCAGCATGGCGTTGTTGAACGCCTGAGGAGCGTCTTGAGGCGATGCCGTCGGCGATGACCCAGCGGCAAACGCGGCCGCCAACCCACCGACCGGTTGCACGGCCGGCGGTGTCGGCGGTACGATCCCTTCCGGCGGTTCGACGGGTTGCGGCTTCTTCTTCTTCTTGAGAGGCTCTCCAGAGGAAACTTTGGCCGCCTCTTTCGCGGCGAGGCGCTGTATCTCTTCGCGCTCTTCCGGTGTCGTTCGCTCCAGAATCTTCGGCGGCGTAAACGGTCCCTCGAAGGCGTCGCCCGTGACGAATGGATGCTTCAAGGCTTGCGCTGGCGTCCAGCGAGTTGCCGGATCGATCTCCATCATTCCCACGAGCAAATCGTAAAACGCCGAGCGCTCGTTGACCCGTGCCTTCTTCTCCGCCGCTATCGCACCCGCATCGTTTGGATCGACCTTTGATGACTGATACGGTATACTGGCTATGATATCCGCCAACTCGGTGTATTTGAAGTACTTCTTCCCCATGGCTGCCCGCCGTCCCGTGCGCGCTTCGAAATCACGCAGCGAAAGAAGCTTGTACTTTGACGTCCCGCTTTCACTCGACGACGCCAACGACGAAGAGCTTTCTCCGAATCCGATGTCGACTCTGGTAAAGAATTTGTTCGTGTTCGGTGCCTTGGCTAACATTTCGGTGGGTGGCGTACCCATGGTTTCGCAAATTCGACACAGCAAGTCGTACTCGCTCGATCCCGGAAATATGGGTAAACCGAGGAATAGCTCGGCGGCGACGCAGCCGAGCGACCACATATCGATGGGCATGCCGTATGGCATCCCCAAGAAGACCTCCGGTGAGCGGTAGAACCGACTCTGTATATATTGGTACACGGTTCTGTTTTGAAAGCACGCGCTCCCAAAGTCGACGAGTTTGACTTGAAATGAGTTGTCTCGGACAAGCAAAATGTTCTCTGGCTTGATGTCGCAATGTACGACGTGGGCATCCCGGAGAACATCTAACGCCGACAATAACTGCTTCATAATTCCTCGAATCGCGCCGAGATGCAAACCCTTAAATTTGTTCTTTCGCAGCAGCTCGTACAGGTTCATGCCGAGAAGTTCAAACACCAGGCACAAGTGGTTGTGGCAGATGAAGTAATCTGCGAGCTCTACGATCACCGACCCCGCCGGTCGATCGCCACACGTCATGTTAAGCGTTCGCAAAATTCCAATCTCCACGTGCGCCTGGTGAAAGTACGCCGGATGATTCTTAATCACCTTGAGCGCAAGAGTGCTCCCGTCTACACTGGACGAAACACTCACGACTTGTCCGAACGTTCCCGACCCGAGCGTGTCAACAACCGTGTACGTCGCCCCACTACTCGAGCTCTCTGACACGTCTTCATCGTCTCTGGGGTGCACGACGCCCTTTCCTCCATTTCGCACCGCTTTGGTGGACCCGCTCGTCGGCGACGCGGATCCAACGCGCTCGCCCAACTCCTCCCCTTCTCGCAGGATCAAGTCGTCGTTCGCGTTATCTCGTCCGTTGTTCGACCGAGGCGTGGACGGTATACTCAGAACGCGTCCAATCGAGCTCGCGTCGCTCGACATCGCGCCCCTCGATCGAACGCGCGTTCGAGCGCGCCTCAACGTGTACCGTGTCGACACCGACGGTCGGTCGAGCGGCGAACAACGTGTGCGCGCGTACCGGTGATTCGCGTCCCGAGCGCGCGTTCGACGCGACGCGCGTCCCGAGCGCGCGCGTGCGGCGTTCTCACGCGCGCGACGTTCGCCGACCGCGTCGCTCGCGGGGACGCACCACCGACGCGCGCTAATTGACGCGGAGGATATACGCGTCGAGGCGACGAGAAGCGGCTTTTCGGGGGCGAAATCGTATCGGGTATTTCATCACGAGTCATGACTCAGAAATAGTCAGTCCCGCACCGCATGTGCACACGCGCCTCTTGGGCTCCCATGGAAATCAATCGACGCGCGCGCGCGCGAGGGGGCGCGCCGGGGTTTAACGAGCGCGCGTGCGGGTCAAACGCGACGCGTCTACGCATCGTCCATCGCATTACATCATCGATGGATCGTTCACGTCGACATCGTTTTCGTCGTCTCTGACAAAGATGAAGAAATCACCCGACTGCGTTCGCGAGACGCGCATCTCGGTGTCAACGAACGTGGTGTCCTGCCAAGCCATTGAGCCGGAGCCCGACGCCTCCATCTCCATGTTTCGCAGGGCACGTCCCGCCGTCGTGGGCGGAGCTTTGATCCTCACGCCGGCAATGCGGACGTCCCTGGGCGTGATTGCGGCTCGGCTATCGGTCCTCGCCTTTAAATCAAACGTGCTGGCATTGGTAAATTTCAGAAACGGCAACGGCTCAAACGTCTCCTCGTTGAGACACTGCAGCGTGAAAATATCCAACGTTTGGAATATCGCTCCCTTCGGACGCATGAAATCTGGTTTACCCCGACCGATCACCGAGAGCTGCGTCGTGTATTGCAGCGCCCATCGTCCGTTCATGAGAGGAGATTTGAGCGGCGACTTTGTCGGATTCTTTGCTTCGAGTGCGCGGACGAGTTGCTCGATTTTTTTCCTTCGCTCCTTGTCGACGCGCAATCCTCTTTCAGTGTCTGCCAACGCTAACAGAAGAGCAGCTTTCATGTCACTGAGTCCCGCGAGCTTTCCACCAGCGAGTGTGATCGTTGGTTTGTACGAGTAATTGACGTTGATCTTCGAGTTGAAAATGGCGGCGCCGAGATTGTCACCCATCCCCTTCAGGCCTCCGCCAAGCACGTCCCAGGGTGAGGAAACCGTCGAATCATCATTATTCACCGCATTTAGTGTTACGTCTTGAGCCTCGACTATTTCCACTTCTGCGGTAGGACGTGGCGCTAAAGCGGCGGTATCAATCGGCGTATCAATCGGCGCGCCGACTTCCAGAACGTCTTGATATTCAAACTCCTCGTCATCTTCAACGTTTGAAGAGAGCTGAAACACACAACCGCTATCTCCGAGCATGAATTCATCACCCGCTGCGAGAGAATACTGCAAGCCGGCCTTGATCTGCCGACCGCGGACAAATGTCCCGCCGGAAGAACGAAGATCTTCAACATACACGACGCCGTCACCAGCGAGCGTGACAGCCGCGTGCGATTTATCAACACCCGGCGACGATAAAATGACATCTGCCCCACCGCGCTTTTGCGAAGTTCCGAGAACAACTCGCTCACCGAGCTCCAAATCAATCACCGGCCCTGACCAACCGACAGGTGCAAGCAACACTCGCTCTGCGGTCACCGTATCAGGCGCTGTGACTGATTCTTCTCTCTGTCTTCTTACCTCCATTTTGATGACTTCCTCTTCGTTCGCTTCGAACTCTTGTTTCTCCAACTTTTTGGCTTCACCGCGCGTTTTGGCTCGTTCTGGTTGTTGCATCGACTTTGCTTGCTCCTCCGCTGCCAAAGCAGCGGTAGATGCCATGCTCGACACCGCACTTCCGACTTGTTCCGCCGCGACTGCGCCGGCTTTTATCACGTCCAACATTTGCTCTAAAGAATCGTTCGGTTTAGGCTTGGAATTATCATCCTTCCTCGGTATGATTTTCACCACCGCTACAGCTTCGTAACGCGCGAGGTGCTCGTCACCGAATGTGACAAAATCCCCTGGGAAGATCTCGTACGTTTCGCCTCTTCGTAGGGCTCGTCCGTTTATGCTCGTCCCGAATTTGCTCCCGAGATCTTTCACAAAAACCCGTCCCTCGTCCTCGTTGGCTCCCAAAGACAGCTCGGCGTGTTTTCCACTCACCGTGCGCACGGGTAGCATGAAACCCGTCCCTCGCGCTCTACCTACGATCATCCTCGATCCCGGTTCGTTCGGTAGTCGTATCACTTTCGTCTCCATCTCCTTCGGCACGCTCTTACGCTCGTTCGGGGGTAGATGCTCGCACGTGAAGTCACCAGCCGGGACTAATTCAACCGACCGAAACTCTCTCGCTCGACGTGTGGACAACGTCGAGACCGAGGAGGAGGCGGTGACGACGTGGTGTCGATGCCACCGACGATGAAGATGCCGACCATCGATCGGGCGTGTTGAGAGCGTCGACATGGTGAGGCGTGACTGACTCTGCGGTTACGCCTCGACGTTCGAGTTCTGTGTATGCGTTCCTCGCTTTTCGTCATCGTTCGTTTTGCCCACGTGTGCGGCGAATTATTACTACTACAACACGCGCAGCGGTCACACACCGTGAATAATCTATGTGCTAAACCATATCGCGAAGCGGTACGGCTGTGAAAGACGCTTGATTTGGTGCGGCGCGCGCAGTCGATGCGTACGCCTCAAAAGCCATGGGAATGAGCAAACAAGCGGCGGGGATGCTGAAGACGGCGGCCGCGACGATCAAAACGACACCAGCCACCGTGAGTTGCGTTTGTGCCTCGCCGAATGACGACGTTCCATCCGTCACGTTTAGAAGCGTGATGTACGGGTCGTTGATTGAACGGAGCAACACGGCTGAGTTCGTGTCGCGAGCCATAGCTAACGTCTTACGAACGAGTGTGAGCGCTGGATACGTCCCAGTGACGGGCGCCGAAATGCGATGACGCACGAACGCCTGCCAGGTTTCCGTTTCTGATGGTGAGCCATCTTCAGTCAGCGAGCGCGCCTCGCATCCATACCCGCCGCCGTAATCATCCAAGGCCCACGCGTCGCTCGCGCCCTTCTGCGCGAGTTTCACGCAAATTCTATCAATTACGCTGTATGTATCGCACCCACCGTTGATTGGATGACCCGCGTATTGATACTTGCACGTCTTCCAGTTCGTTATAGGAAGAAACTTCTTCGTGAAGAGCTCAACATCGTCGGAGACTCGCAACTCCTGTGCACCGTTCACGCGAATCATCAATGAACGCTTACCCATCAGCGCAGCCATCACAGCAGTATTGTTATAATGCCGACTGTACGTCGGTGTCGGCGCCGTTCCGAGGATGCTAGCCAAGGATGGAACGTCGGCTGCGTCGGCGACTCCTGCGGATATCAGCTCCGGAATTGCAATCGCTTCGATCAAACCGCCGCCTTGAAGGGCGTATCGCAACGCCTCATACGTCCCCATCGAAGAGTGGTGATTGACACCCTCTTTCTCACCCGTCGTCACCGCTCGCGTCGGTGTCCATGTAGTCGGTGAACCGTTGCCAGAGACGGGTGAGAGTCCGAGTTCAAACGTTGCCCCTGAGAAGCGTTCTCGCTCACCCCCGTTCCACGCATCCATCGCCCCGGTGTACGTCTCCCTCGCGAGCGCGGTCTCCTCCGAGTACGTCGTCGCGCGGCCAATCGCGCTAAAACCTAGCAAAAACAAAGTCACAGCTGCGACCGCTGAAGAGCACCCGCACGACTTTGTTGAGCGCGCTTCTTCTCTCTCCCACCGTCGAAGCGCGCGCTCGCGCTCGACCGCGCTCGACGAAGACGCTCGACGACCTCGAAGACGCGCCCTATCATCGTCCCAATCGTCGTGTTCGCCCTCGAAACCGTCTCCGAACTCGTCTTCAAAGTCTCCGTCCTCAAAGAAATCTTTCTCTTCGTCCGGTCCGTCGCTCTTCGATCGACTTCCTCCCCGTCGTCGCGAGCGTCTCGCCGTCATGGTTCCCGCGGACATTCCAGAGCGCATAGAATGAGCGAGTGTTGACGCGAGACAACGACGGCGACACGGAGACGACGCGCGAGACTGTGAAGAGGTGATTGTCGCACGGTGGTGCTGAAATGTACTGATGACAAAAAGCAGGCCTAGTCGCGTCTGCAGTGCTCGACGTCGCCATGGACGACGTCGACGACGGCGACGTTGGCATGCCCGCGGGTGCGATCGTTCGTTTCGACGAACTCGTGGACATCGCGAGCGGGGCAGACGGGCGCGAGGTCTCCGTGCGAGCGCTCTGTACAGTCACGAGCTTGGACGTTGCGAACGCACGCGTCACGGCGACGACGACGCGTTCGAGGAGGGACGCGAAGACGTCCACGAGCGAGAGCGAGCGAGAGATAGAGATAGATTTCAGCGCCGTACGCGCGGATGAACACGGGGCGTTCGAGGACGGACAGATTTATCGACGCGGAGCGCGCGTGTGCGTCATCGGCGAAGCGCGCGCGCGAGCGGACGACGGGAAGATTGAGTTGCGCGCGCGCGTCGCGCGAGCGGTCGATGGCTTAGACTTGGATGCGTACGAGAAATTGTTGGAGATGCGTCGGAAATTTTTAGCCGGCTTGGAGACCGCGACGTTGGGGCCCTAGAAGCATGGAATAACAGATGATGGTGCGAGACATTGAAATCGAACCAGCAGTGCGCGAAAGATATACTAGGCGCGGTGCGACTTGAGGTAAAACGTGTACATCGACAATGCCGTACCCGCACCCACGAGTGCACCGATGGTGACGTACATGAGTCGATCCGTCGTTCGCGTTCGCATCAAAGCGTCGACACTGCGCAAAAGTTCCAATTTATCCCGTTCTAGCTTTGCCACTCTTTCTGCCCTTCCTTCGCTCTTCGCGGCTCGGTTCTTCTCCTTCAGCAGCGCAGCGTTCGCGGCTTCGAGCTCACCCTTGACCTCAGCGAGATCGACCGCGAGATTTCTTTGGTTCGTCGGAGAGGAAAGCTCTGCCTCGAGGTCCACCACGCGTCTTTCCAGAGCCATAATGGTCCGCTTCGCTTCCTCCGCCTCCTCCTTGTACTGCGCTCGTCGTCGCGTGCGCACGCGTGGTGTCAGTCGCCGTCGTTCGATCAAACGCGCGCGTGTTCATCATCTCCCGGTCGATGAACCGTTCACGCGCGCGTCGCATCTCGAAATTTTCAAGTCGTCTCAGCTGTCTCTTTTCAAATCTCCTGCTCATCGTCGTCGTCGTCGTCGTCGCACCTTGTTCCTCGATTCCGACAGCGCCTCGTACTTCGCTCGGAGTGAGCTCTTGTTGCTCGTCATCTCGTTCGTCTTCGGCGCCTCGTTCTCGGACGCGCGCACGTTCGCATCGCTCGCCATCGCGGTCGTTGACGAGTGCCGCCGATGACGAATGACGACAGTCATCCATCCGTCGCGCGCGGTCGTCATCGACGACGACGACGACGCGCGCGTCGACGGACGCCGCAGAGCGAGACGCGGACGGTGCGGACGCCATGGGACGCCACGGCGACGACGCCGTCTCCGCGTTCGGTGACGAGAAGCGCGGCGCGCGCGCGTCGTACGAGCGACGACGACGACGAGAGATTGCAGAGAAACGCGGACGCGGACGCGGACGCGGACGCGGACGCGGACGCGACGGCGTCTCGACGCACGTCGACGCCGAGTACGTCGACGCCGTCGTCTCGCGCGCTCGATCGTCGCTGGACGACGTGGTAGGGGACGACGGCGAGGGAGACGACGACGCGCGAGGAGCTGACTTGGAGGAGCTCTTACGCGACGCCGAACGCGCGTGCGCGCCGAGACCGGGAACGGCGTCGATGTATTTCGACGGTGAATGGGCCGATGACGCGCTACGAGAGGTTGCGTCGACTTCAGGAGTCGAAGGCGGCGACGCCGGTGCGAGCGCGGATATCGCGGCGGCGCTGACGATCGACGACGTCGCTCTGGAACGAAGACTGCGCGAAACGTCGCTCGCCCGACTACTCGGACTCGGAGAGGAATACGAGGACGCGTGTGGGTACGACGGCGTTCTCGAAATGAAAGCACCGGCGTCGGTGATGGATGCGTCTCCGGTGATCGGTGTGAACGAAGCTTCTGAGTCTGCGCCGACACCGCCCGCGAAGGTGACGGACGAGGACAGTTGGCTCGACGAACTCCTCGACGGCGACTGATCGCGCGCACGTGGGATCGGCCGGCTCGCGCGCGCGTTGTAGATGCTAGTTGTACTGTTATGTTAGACCTAATGTTCTACGTTAGATTGAGTTCTCGAGTGCTACGTTTTGCGCGCGCTGGCGCCGCGCAGTCCGGCGACGCGGTGTCCGTCGCCTAAGTCAACGTCGTCATCGCTCGCCGTCTTCGTCTCGGCCGCGGTGCGCGTCTTCCCCTCTCGAAATCCGAGTTTTCCAAAGTCTTCTTTCGTCATCAGTTCGCGAGACATGCGACACTCCAAGTACGCCTTGCTCGCCTCGACGCACGCCGAGGCGTCGTACGCGTTTCGCTCGAGACATTCAAAGTACGACTTCTTCGTCTCGTCGCACTCGTGGAAGTGATCGAGCGGGAACGTCCCTCGCTCCGGCGCCGAAGGCGCTCGAGACCCGCTCGAGCTCGGGGTCGACATCGACGACCGACAACGCGTCGACGCGTCGACGCCGTGTGCGGTTCGAGCGGAGAGGCTCGCGGGTGCGCACCACCGCACTCGACGCCGTTCGTCGCTCGAGTCGCGCGAGGGCGTCATTCATGGACGTCTCGGGCGCGCGTTCCGTCATCTCGCGCGTCGCCGCGTCGCGCCGAGCGTCCACGTCAGCGTCAGCGTCATCGTCTACGTCGCCGACGACGATGCGAGTGACGTCGAGACGGCTTCGAGACCGAGCGCGATTTGAGCGACGGGGCGGGGCGAACGAGACGACGGCGCGCGCGAGCGCGGGACGACACTCTCTCTCGCGCGCGGTGCGGCCGACGGCGCTGAACGCGGAGGGTGAAGAGAGGGTAAAGGAGGAGGACAGCGGAGTTTCGGCTCGGCTTTTACTAATGTGCGTCCCGGCGTTGTGGGCGACGTACGCGCCGTCGCTGAAGTACGTGTTCACTTCCGACGTTCCGCCTGGACCTGAAGCACTCTCGTTCGTTCGCATGGCGTTGACGCAATTGCCATTCATCCCGGCGCTGCTGTCGACTCTGGGGCGCTCGGCGTCGTCGTCGACGGAGGAGAGAACCGACGCAAAACGCAGCATTCGCGCCGCAGTCGAACTCGGGGCGTACAACGCCGTCGCGACCGCGTTTCAGGCGTGGGGTCTGGAACATACGACGTCGACACATAGTGGTTTCATCATGGGCAGCGTCAGCGTCCTCGTTCCGGCGTTCAGCGTGTTGTCTGGAGACGCGGTTAGGCGCGAAACTTGGTTAGCGTGCGCGACGACGTTCATAGGCGTCGCCATCATCGGATTGGACTCTGTTCAGTCGGATTCGAGTCTCGGGTCAATTTCCGAGCGCACGTTGAGCGGCGACGTCGCCGTGTTCGTCTCGGCGATGTGCTATGCCGCGATGACGCTTCGCGCCAGTACGTACGCGCGTGAGTTTTCGGCGAATGATTTGATGGGCATGAAGACATTCGTAGTTCTCATATTCATGACGGCTTGGTACGCTCGAGCGTTTGATAGCGCTGGAGGCGCTGTGGACGACGCGTCGTTTGCGTTTTTGGCGTCACCCATGGTTCGCGCGGCTGTGCTGTATAGCGCGTTCGCACCTGGCGCGTTGGCGAGTTACATACAACTCAAGGGTCAAGGACGCGTGTCCGCCCCGGAAGCGCAGCTCGTGTACGCGGCAACACCCGTGTTTAATGCCGTGGTATCTACACTGGCGCTCGGTGAAACGATGACGACGAACACGCTCATCGGCGGCGGTATCATTCTCGCCGCAAGTGTGTCGAGTTTCGCGCTACCACCGCGCAACGACGCGTAGAATGGAGGGGCCTGTACTGGCCTGTAGATTAGTGTATTGTTGCGTCCCGTCATTCGCGGGACGGACTATTTTTCTGTTCTCAGAAACTCGCTTGGATGTATCGACAGATGAATTACAATGTTTTTCTGTTCGCATGGAGACCGTTATTATCATCAGCTCATTCATCTCTTCATCAGCCTTATTTAGCGTTTCGGCCTCGTGCCTTGGCTTTTCTTAGTTCACACGTCTCGAGGTACTCGAGCGCATGCTTCGAGTCTTCATCGAAGTTTCTCAAACGCTTCAGTCGCTCTTTGTCCGTTGAGCGGTTTAATTTGTACCAAAACTGTCCAACCTGAACCTCTCTTTCCCCATCATCTTCATGGTCCCATCGCGCGAGTGTGGCCACATCGTGCGCTCTCGGCAACTTGCCATCCAAGTGGTCGCGGACGTGCGCGCTGAAAATCTTCAACTTGCGCGCGGCGTGCGCTGTGTACATATATGCATGGCCATCTTCGCGAAATACACATGTCTCGAGATACTCGAGCGCATGCTTCGAGTCGGCATCGAAGTTTCTCAAACGCTTCAGCCGATCTTGGAACCGGATATTGCGGGTTAATTCGTACCACCACCATCCAACCGGAACGCCGTCTCTTTCCCCAGCATCTTCATGGTCCCATCGCGCGAGTGTGGCCACATCATGAAATCTCGGCAACTTGCCATCCAAGTGGTCGCGGACGTGCGCGCTGAAAATCTTCAACTTGCGCGCGGCGTGCGCTGTGTACATATATGCATGGCCATCTTCGCGAAATACACATGTCTCGAGATACTCGAGCGCATGCTTCGAGTCGGCATCGAAGTTTCTCAAACGCTTCAGTCGATCTTGGAACCGGATATCGCGGTCTAATCTGTACCACCACAATCCCACCGGAACGCCGTCTCTTTCCCCATCATCTTCATGGTCCCATCGCGCGAGTGTGGCCACATCATGAAATCTCGGCAACCTGCCATCCAAGTGGTCGCGGACGTGCGCGCTGAAAATCTTCAACTTGCGCGCGTCGTGCGCTGTGTTCATATATGCACAGCCATGTTCGCGAAATACACATGTCTCGAGATACTCGAGCGCGTGCTTCGAGTCTTCATCGAAGTTTCTCAAACGCTTCAGTCGCCCTTTGTCCGTTGAGTGGTTTAAGTTGTACCACCACAATCCAACCGGAACGCCGTCTCTTTCCCCATCATCTTCATGGTCCCATCGCGCGAGTGTGGCCACATCGTTCTGTCTCGGCAACTTGCCATCCAAGTGGTCGCGGACGTGCGCGCTCAAAATCTTCAACTTGCGTCCATCTGATGTCGTCGTCGTCGTCGCACGCGATCGGTCGACGCGCGCGCGCGCGATGATCGGCCTCGGCGTCGACGGTCGCGCGAACATCCGCGCCGTGAAGTGAGCGTTACGCAAAACGCCTGTACTTTTTTCGTGACCAACGACCTAAACGAGGCGAGGCGTTCTCCAGGGTTTAGGGTTCCAGCTTGCACGTCTCCAAGGCGCTTCACCATGGGTTGACCGTTTGACAACGCGATCACCAAATTTTTAGGGTATTTTCTTGTACATTTTCTAAACCCTAATTCGATAGGGGTATGCCGTGTCCACGGTGTGTCTGTCTCTTTTCGTGGTGGTGTTGGTCTGGTGTCGGGTCCTTTTGTATGTTCTAGACCCTAATTCTAGGGGAATTGGGTTCGAAGTTTAGGGTTTAGGGTTTAGGGTTTAGGGTTTAGGGTTTAGGGTTTAGGGTTTAGGGTTTAGGGTTTAGGGTTTAGGGTTTAGGGTTTAGGGTTTAGGGTTTAGGGTTTAGGGTTTAGGGTTTAGGGTTTAGGGTTTAGGG